AAAAAATTAAAAAAAAAAAAAAAAGAGGTTTACAGATTAGAGGAAGGAAAAATTAAATAATTATACAAATATATATAAAATATATGACTGTGAAATGAAGATGCTCGGCACCCTTTACTCAAGCCCCCTTCCTGTTTAGGGATATCAAATAAAGGCTTTCATAAGGAAATGACAACCAAGCTGAGATGTGAAAGATGAAGACAAAGGTGAGGCAAGCGCTTCTCAAACAGAGGAAGCAGCATGTGCACAGGCCCTGGGATAGGAGAGAATATGGAGCGTTTAAAGAACTAAACAAAGGCCAGTGTGGCTGGGGCACAGATAGAAGGGGGAGTGGGAAGAGACAGGGCCAGGGACACGTGGGGCCGGCCTATGAGGGGCCTCATAAGCTACTAGGATTTTGCTCTTTACCCTAATAATAATCAGAAGCCATTACAGCATTTTAAGCAGTAAAAGGCCATGATCAGATCTGAGTGGTAAAGCAATAATTCTGGGTGTATGTGAAGAACAGACTGAGCAGATGCAAGGAGAATACTTAGGAAGCTACAGCAAAAAGCCAGGTGAAAGATGGCGACAGCTTCAATTAGGGAGTACTAAAACTCACTGTTTGCTAAGAGAGTAAATCTTAAATATTCTTACCACAAAAAAGAAATGGTAACTATGTGACCTGATGGGAGTGTTAGCTAATGCTACGGTGGTAATTATTCTGCAATATATATAAGTGTATCAAACCAACACATTGTACACCTTGCACTTACACAACATTATATGTCAATTATATCTCAATAAATCTGGGGTAAGATACACTGTTTAGGAGGTCACTTGGGGAGACTTAGATATAGAACATATAGCTATGCTGTCCAATATGGCAGCCACTAGCCACATGCTCTGTAGTTGCACTTGCCACATGTGATTATTTAAATTTAAATTTTAAAAAATTTAAATAAAATTTAAAATTCAGTACCTAAGACATACCAGCCACATTTCAGGTGCTCAAAAGCCACAAGAATCCAGTGGCTACCATATTGGACAACACAGATACAGAATATTTCCATCACCATGGAAAGTTATATTGGACAGCATTGATAAAGAATGAGAAGGAAAATAGGCCTAACCTAAAACCTGAAAAACTCTAACAAATAATATCCAGGTAGAAGAAGAAGACCCCGTAGAGGAGTCAGGAATGGCCAGAGAATTCAAAGGAAAAGCAGGGACATATGCTGTTTCAGGAGCCAAGGAAAAGACATGTTGAAGGGACTGGTCAGAGTCAAATGCGCTCTGAAGTCCACTAAGATAAGCACTGCAAAAGGAACGCTGATTTAGAATCCAGGAAATCCCTGGTGACCTTATCAAGAATTATTTTGTTGGACTGATCAAGATGGAAGCTGAAGTCTCTTGGGTTAAAGAGCAAGTGGAAGGCAGGAAACTGAAAAAGCAAGAATAGACTGTTCCTGGACAGAAAAGGAAAAACTGGAGAACAAAAAGTGAGGCAAGAGGGGGAGGTAAGCTGGAAGGGAATGTGGGTCAGGTGGGTCGGAGGGAATTAAGACAAGGTTTTAGCATGTTTAAATAGTAATGGGAGAGAGCCATTTCAACGGGAATGGTTCAATATACATAATCAATACTGAAGATTCATGAGAAGGCAGGAACAGATGGATTCCAAAGAACTAGAGTCTCCACTAGTAAGAGAGGCGCCTCCCACTTTCTTCATGGCAGGGAAGCTTGGGCCAGTAGGCAGAAGTGTTTGGCAGCAGACAGGTGAAGCTTTTGGTTTTTCAGTAAAGAGGTGAGGCTGTCTGCTGGCAGAGGCTGGGAGATCTGAGGAGAGCAGGGTGAGTCTGACTGGTCTCCGTGGAGAAACAGCACACGCTGACCGGGGAAACCTGGCAGGGCTGGTCGGAGAGCCCTTAAAGGTTAGTGATTCTAAATTTATAAGGGGCCAATCTGTCTCACCTACCTTATCTGTGCAGATGAGGAGAAAGGACAGAATTAGATTCATCAACAGCTAAAGTTTTGTGAGAGGGGTCAAGGGTAGATCCAGATTTAGAAGCGGGGGTCTGAAGCTTATATAATTGGGGGAGGGCTCCTTAAGAAAAAAAGTACAAAATTACAAAAGAAGACAAAATCAGGAGCAGAGCTTTGGAAGCAGCTTGTTTAAATGAGGGACCCTGAAGCTTCAGCGACCTTAGCTTTATAATAAATCCACCTCTGAGAGGAGCAAAGTAAGAAGTCAGAGAGGCAGGAGAATTTAAGGTAAAGTGTCACACGCCTCAGCTAGATCAAGAGGCGAGAGGACTGAAGCCCTGAGAGAAGGAGGGGTAGTATGGGCAGGAGTGGAGGAAAGGGAAAACAGAGAGCCTGGTGCCGAAGACTTCTGTGACTGAGCAAGGCTGGAAGGTGGCAGGCTGAGAGGCAGGAAGTGACAGTTTAACCAAACGCATGAGAGGTCCACAGAAGCCGAGGGCATTGTGCTGTTTTCATTTTTCACAAGTGGTGGAGTGGGAAGCAAGGACACCAGAACCTACCTCATGACCCAGTTATGTGGGGAATGAGAAATGAACTGCTGGACTGAGCAGGCCATAGGAAAGCACTCCACTTAAGGGAGACCTGGGTTTGCAGCTGGGGTTTTTATAAATTTTATTTTGATGATGTACTATACCCCAATATTGCTCAAATAACTTGCCAGCCACGCTTTTCTTATAATTAAAGAAAATATAAGATAAAAATCTTATTGCACTTAAAAATAATCAAGATAGGGGCCAGCCGGGTGGCGCAAGTGGTTAAGTGCGCGCGCTCCGCTGCAGCAGCCCGGGGTTCGCCGGTTCGGATCCCGGGCGCGCACTGACGCACCACTTGTCAAGACATGCTGTGGCAGCGTGCCATATAAAGTGGAGGAAGATGGGCACAGATGTTAGCCCAAGGCCAGTCTTCCTCAGCAAAAAGAGGATTGGCAGACGTTAGCTCAGGGCTGATATTCCTCACAAAAAAAGAAAAAAAAACAATCAAGATAGGGGCCGGCCCTGTGGCCTAATGGTTAAGTTCGGTGCACTCCCCTTCAGGAGCCCGGGTTCGATTTCCAGGCGCAGATCTACACCACTTGTCAGCGGCCGTGCTGTGGCAGCAACCCACATACAAAATAGAGGAAGACTGGCGCAGATGTTAGCTCAGGGCGAATCTTCCTCGAGCAAAAAATAAATAAATAAATAAATACAATCTCTCTTAAAAAAATAATAATCAAGATAATTGTGAATTATTTGAAAACACTGTACATATTAAATTGTAGATGAGCTAAGACTCCTGACACACACTGATACAGATTATAAAAATATGGAAATACCTGAACATTGAAGTTGAGACAAAATTTGAGCACCTTCAAAGTTGTGGCTTGTCATCTTTAAATTAGGTTTGATACAACGAATAAAGCTTGCTCCCTAGGGGAATAAAGGTACTTTTAAAGACAATACATAGAGCATTCTTATTTCTACAAAAACCAGCAACTTTCAGAAAATATTGCCATTAACATGTGAACCTCTTGTAAAATATAAACACTACGGAACTTTAAAACTTTCTTAGCATACTTTTATAATTTAAAGCTGGGAATGAATTTCTGCATTATATACTAATAGTATTAGAAAAACACTACATTTTAGATTTGAGTGCCCAAAATAGTGTTATTATAAAAAGAAAAGTCTTTAAATGTAAAATATTTTAATATATTTAAACAACACATTTTGCAGGCTAACATACATATGATTTTATTCTACATTTAAGTGTATTTATATGCTATGTTTTTGTGATAAGAAAATTGCCCTATGACAAGAGGACTAAATAAAACTATACCTCTTAAAATTTAGGCCAAAGTGTAAAAAAAAAAAAAAAAAAAAAAATCAACCTTTTTCATCATACTACTTTCAAGATATACAGTAAGTCCCTAAGCTGCACCACTGCACATTTTAAAGTTTTGTTTGTTAAACAATGTTTTAAAAAGCTTAAAGGCAGTCATTTGGAATCAGTTCTCAGATTATGTTGAATGAGGCAGGAAGAACACTGATACGTATACAATGAAACTGCTGGGTACTGACGCTGATGTACTAGGAGCTAATACACATCCAAATAATTGTTTCCTTCACAGCAGTCACCTTGCAAAACTGAATACTCAGTTCAGCAATGATGCTCATGCAAACACTTCTAGAACACTTTTTAGAAATGCCTTCTTTTTTTAAATCACGAAAGTAATCTCATCATTTTACAGTAAAGATACATTTGGATGATAAAAATAAAATACGTTCCTCATCAGACTTGGTTTTAAAAGATGTTTGGTCCTTAAGAGAAAAATATTTGTAAACAATGAGGATATTTAAAAGAATTTCTTAATGGTTCCAAAAGTAAGTCTAACGATAAATTAAGCAATAATAGCACCAACAGATTAAATATTTGGCTTTTCAAAATGACTAGTTGAAAAAGAAGAGTACTCAGTTAAGTTCTGTGGTTTTTTTAAAGAATAAGTCTCATCCTGGAATCATGCCCTATTTATACAACCCTCATATCAAATTTCTTTCTATGGTAAATTTTTCATTAAATAACAGAGTGAATCACTAAAATGTCCAGTTAAGGAAAAGTCTCTTTGGAAATACTGCTTCTATAACAAGGCATAAAAATATTATGTCCATTTTTCCCATATCAACATTGTTGATAGTAGTAACATGTTGGACAATGTTACTACTAGAGTAATAAAATGAAAATAAATTACACACATATCTTTAATCTTAAAAAAATACATTTTCCTTCTCCATAATAATTAATTACTTTCACTTTCCTGAAACCACAGGATAATCTTAATTTAATAACATTCAGAGAATGCTATACATTTATAAAATAATTGGACTTCACAGAAAATTTGACCTTTCTTCAGAATAAACCTAACCAAAACAACAACCATTTTAAAAACTAATTTTTTTCAATGAAGGAATTTGGTTTCAAATGAATTTCGAATTATTCCAGGTTTACCCTGCTTATTTGAATGATTACTAGTAATAGTTTAAGAGGACCATTTAAAAACTCGGGTGTTTTTTTTTAAAGTATACTCACAGTACTTCGAAGTTTATCCAGAAGCAAATTTAACTGTGTCTGTAGAAGAAAGGAAATCACTTTATTATTTCAAAAAGCAAAAGTACACAATGTCATAAGTTACTATTAGCTCTCCAATATTAGAATAAAATAACATTCAATAACATCCACACATAACACATTACAATTTAACAACTTCTAGTCCACAAACTCTTTTAACAGACAATAACATGCAAAACGTATGGCTAATATAATGCCAAGGACAATAACTTATTTTACTTATATAGAACTTACCTAATTAAAAGACTGAAAATTAGCGATACTAAAAAACATACATGCACACTTGCAGGTGGGGTGAATGAGGGAAAAAAGGTACAGGCAATGAAGGAAGTAAATGAAAATGCAGGGGATGCATCAATGAGAGATCAACGGAGCAGTATTTGAGTATGTGGCAAGCTGGGTGTAGTTTGTGTCACACTCCATTAAGAATGAAGACATGTTTAAAATATACACTAGTGGTATATATTAGGATTGTTTTATATAACACTTATCATAAACGAAATTGTCCTGCCTAGCTGTAGAAACCTCCTTTACTATTTTAAAATGTTTCAATTATTTTTAAAAGCTTGGAAAATTTTCTCAAAAAGAATTTGACAATGAACATTACAAGTTACTATGCTTTTCCTGTTTTTAATAATATTAAGTTACTATCATTTACTCTGGTTCAGTATATTAAAATCATGCATTTGTTTTAGTTCTCTGCAAAGTAAATTATGTAAAATGCTTATACCAATTTTATACTACGATAGTTATTGTACTACTTACAAAAGATAAATTAGGGTGTTAATTCTTAAATTAACATATTAGATTAATCATAGCTATATTTAATAATACTAGTAATTGGTATACTTCACTGAATGCTTTCTGTGAGTCAGGCACTGCTCAAAACTTTTCAAGGGCATTATCATGTTTAATCCACACAACAATTCTAACTAAAGATACATTATTAGCCTCATTTTACAATTGAAAGCATTGAGGCCCAAAGAGAAACATTACTTGCCCAAGATCATGGAGCCAGTAATGGCAAAGCCAAGATTCCAACACAGGCCTAACACCAAACTTCACTCTTTCACTCGCGATACTGCAGCATACTTCAGACATCATAGGCTTAAGTGACAAAGACGAAGCGAATTTGTCATTGGATTAAAAACATACAGTCATACCCACTTATCTAGTTGACAGAGTTCTGACAACCTTAATCAATCTGGACCACCACACAAATGAAAAGTAAGTAGAAGAGCTACTAATTTGGAAAGAAAACTGTCACAAAGTCCATGCTTCTTAATCCACAGACTAAGCACAGTATTCTCCAAAAAAATGGAGATAAAGTAAGTCAGAAAAGTAGAAGCAGCAAAAATGAACTAACAGCATCCGAGAGACCCAGGAAGAATGTCAGTTATCAACGAGCAGCAGTCAAGGACCATAAGGCCCACGGGCAAACAGCCTTGGCGACTCACTGTATGTGTACTTTATGTTTATTTCAAAGCATACAAATATTCAGGTAGATAATGACAGAAAAGATTCTCATCAAAAAGGATTACTTTTTCTAAAACACTAACAGTAAACGGGTTATGTTTCAATAACCTGAAAAATGTCACTCTTCAGTAGAAAACCCCTGGTTCTCAGTGATGCTGGATAGTTGAAGTATCATTGTAAATGCTAGCCTGCTTTGTTTTATTGCTTCACATGACCTGAATTGAATTTAACGAACTATTCTACTATATTTAAAATTAAGAATTACTGTTAATATTTCATTTCAAAGTATCTCATAAAAAACATATTTGCAATTTTATTAATAATGTCACTCAGTTATAGCTTTCAGTAGTTTAATGTGCAAAACACATCTTATTGCATATAAGCAATTTTAAGACATTTCAAGTCTCAATATAAAAGAATACTTTGATTCAAAGAATTTTAAGAATTTTTTTTTTAACAAGATTGGCCCTGAGCTAACATCTGTTGCCAACCTGCCTCCTTTTTTCCCTTTTTCTCCCCAAAGCCCCAGTATATAGTTGTATGTCACAGTTGTACATCCTTCTAGTTGCTCTATGTGGCACATTGCCTCAGCATGGCTTGATGAACGATGCATAGGTCCCAGGATCTGAACCGGCAAACCCCGGGCCGCCAAAGCAGAGCGTGAAAACTTAACCACTATGCCACCTGGCCCGCCCCAAAGAATGTTTTTGTTGTTATTTATATTGTCTAACATTTCAAGTACGTTCTTGCCAGCAATACTACTCTAATATTGCAGCAGGAAAATTAATGACTGATATCCATTTCATAGAGGCTATCGTACTATTTTAAACCAATCTGTTATCATGTCTATCCAGGAATTTAAGACTATCCAAATAAGAGAAAAAATATTGCTCAAGAGAATTAGGAACTCAATTAATGAATATAACTTATAACAAAGTTAAAGCCTTTCTATTCAGTTACCTGAAAATGTCGTATAAGCTTTCTCCTATATTTATGTTTAAGCTTTAAAAAAATCTAGCTGGGGGCCAGCCCCGTGGCGTAGCGGTTAAGTGCGCGCACTCCACTGCTGGCGGCCCGGGTTCGGATCCCAGGCGTGCACTGACGCACCACTTGTTGGGCCATGCTGTGGCAGCATCCCACATAAAGTGGAGGAAGATGGGCACGGATGTTAGCTCAGGGCCAGTCTTCCTCAGCAAAAAGAAAAGGATTGGCAGGTGTTAGCTCAGGGCTGACCTTCCTCACACACAAAAATAAATAAATAAATAAATAGATAAATATAAAATTAAATTTAATTTAATTTAAAAACCTAGCTTTATAAACATGATTTTATCAAGTTAGTTATTTAGAGCCCATTTCAATCCACAAGGGATTTCAAAAGGCTTATATTATTAGTATCATAGTATTATGATACTTAAATATTGTTTCTAATTACATCTTTTTTAATATTTAAAGTATATATAATGAAAAGTATAAGTAGAGTTTTCTTGTAAGTACAACAACAACGTTTTGTGGAAATGTGTAAGAGAGAAATTAATTCTATTTATTATAACTTTGTATTCCTTAAACTTGTGACATAAGTTTTTAAATTATCTTTCTCTATGCTAAACACTCAACAATAAGAATCAATTAGTAGTGTTCCATTTCTAAGACACATCAAGTGACAATTCCTTGTCAGACCTCAAAGAATAAATTTATGATCCAAAATTAATAAAATAAATGAAATGTTCTTCAATGTTAAATAAGCAATTTGAAGGATCTGCCACACAGAGCACTTATCTTTTGCAGAAGTAATTAAAAGCTTTAACCAAATTTTAGTGTAATATGCACATCCATAATGCACTGTGAGAGAAAACACGTTGAAAATGAATTACAAACTGAATCATTAACTTGAGACAGGCTCTTTTTAACATGGCAGCCAAGCTATAAATAGGAGTCCACGAAGGTGATCATTTACCTGAAGCCCCTGGCTGTGCCTGCTTTTCCTCTCTCAACTCAACTAGTCCTCTCTAGCCATCCCGAGCTGGACTACTCCAGCTAAAACAAAACTGCTGAATGAGGAAGGAAACAGAAAACATGTGGGAAAGAGAAGGTCTGAAGGTCAACCAGACAGTAAGCCAGAAGCAAGAACATTAGGAGAAGCAATCAGATATGTTAAGCATCAGGAAATAACACAGTCATAAAATTACAAGAACTTCTGTATGTTTAATTCTATGTCTATTTTATGTTATTTCTGCATACAACTATCAACAATGCAGGGTCTGCTCTTGAACCTCACTCATGAGCTCATGGGATTTCTGACAGTGATCTGCATTATCCACTGTAGAGTATAAAGCAATATATTCTATTTTAAAATGCAGTAAAAAAAAATTCAAGTAATATATTTAACACAAATACCTTAAACTTGTTCCCCACACTGATGAAGCTAAGTTTTCCTGCTTTTTGTTTAGTATCTTTGTTGTTATTTGTGGATGATTCAAATAATTCCCGCACAAACTTATCCCTGGATTCACATATTAAGGATTCAAGAGACATATGTAAAGCATCATTATTCTTCTCCACAAACTGGGTCTGAAAAATAAAGCAAACAGGAATGATTCGGTCCATCTCATGATAATATCCCTTAACACTGCTGTCCAACACAGGCACCACCAGCCAAGGTGGACGGTCAGTACCATACAGTGAAGTGCGGCTAGTGCACTGAGGCACTGAATTTTAAATTTTATTTAATATACATTTAAATAGTCAGACATGGCTATAGGTTACCATATTGTACAGCACAGCTTTAATCAACTGGTTTTCTCCTGGTAAAAGTTATACTCACTGTTTCATAGCACACTGCCCCTGCAAAATGCCTAATAATGAAGCCTTCATCATCTCTGATGTTCCTATGAACTGCCAGCTTAGATTTTCTAGGAATCTGAAAAATAATACAAACATCAGTTAATAAAGTATCAGAAAAATATTACATAATTTCCTTTAGAAAACATTTGGGATGTAAATTACTTAAAATTATAAAGGAAATTTTCACATTTTTCAAAATCATGGTGCTCTTTAAACATCTAGTGAGCCTTAAAGCGCCAGTGAAATCAAGCAAATATTTGGTTATAATCTCTTAGGAAAGAAAAAAGGAGTAAGACAAAAAAAATAATACTATTTAGAAGCACATGCAAAACATAGTGGGCATGTTATAGTTAACTGCCTACACCTGAAGTACTGGTTCTCGACCTTGGCTGCTCTATTAGAATCACCTGGAGAACTTGTAAACCTCCCAAAGCCCAGACCATTTACATCAGGTGATTCCTAGGTGCAGCCAAGGTTGAGAAGCATTGTTCTAAAAACACACCTGGCATCAGCATAGGACTCTCCCACCGTTTTAAACCATACATCCTAACATGTTGACACATGAGCCTGAATCCATCTGAAGGAAACTAAATCATTTTAGGGTTGCACTATCTAATTATAATATCTCATATTTATATCATATTTAAAAGTTTCCAAAATACTTTCACGTAAAAGATCACATCTGACCCTCAAAATAACCTAAGGTTAAGAATCCACTCAACGGGCCGGCCCCGTGGCTTGGTGGTTAAGTGCGCGTGCTCTGATGCTGGTGGCCCGGGTTCGGATCCCGGACGCGCACCGAGGCACCACTTCTCCGTCCATCCTGAGGCCGAGTCCCACATACAGCAACTAGAAGGATGTGCAGCTATGACATACAACTATCTACTGGGGCTTTGGGGGGAAAAATAAATAAATAAAATCTTTAAAAAAAAAAAAAAAAGAATCCACTCAAAATTTAAAAGTGAAATGAAATGAAAAAGCTAAGACTCGGGACCCTTACCAGGCTGTCTCCAGACCAGAGAGTGAGCACACCACAAAGCCTCTTCTCTATGAGAGGCAACGACCAGCATGAAGCAGAGTGAGCGCCTGGGGTCTGACTGCCTGGCCTGATCCCCAAAGCCACCTCTTCCTTACTGTGCTATACACAGCAGGTCACTGAACCTCTCCATGCATGTTTCCTCATTTCTGGCATGGGGATACTAATACGATCTACCCCCAGAGGACTGTTGTGAGGATTAAATAAAACAATTCAATTAAAAACCTTACAACAGTGCCTGGTACATGCTAAGTGTTCAATAAAGATTATCTGTTTTATTTCCAAAGAAATACAAGAAAAGTTATGGTCTATACAAATTAGGATTTAGTGTTTTGCTCTTGTTCTCCTTGAGAAAAGCAACCGAAGCCCATTCCTGATGCTTTATTTTGCTGTCCTTAGACTTACAGGTCTCTGAGACCCTGGTCACAATTTTGTTCACTAGCAATCAGTACTCATGGAAAAGGTAACCAGGCATCCACAGGCTGGTCATAACAAAGACCGATGAGCAGCAAATAAATAGGACTTAGCAGTCTTAGCAAAAGTTTTGTTGAGGACACGTATTGTTTTACTTCTATCTCCACTGAAGTATGAGAAACAGGCTCCACATTACAAGAAATATTTAGGGATACAGAGGAACGCCAAGTCAATGGAGCAGGTGTTTGTGGGATCCAGTCCCCAGAGAGAGTTAACAAAATTACATCAGCTTTTCAGGAATATTCTTGATTTCGTTAACGATGTATGGAAACAAGAACACTTGTCATTAACTTAAGCTCCTGGATCCATCAAAGCAACAACTGTTACACTACACTAAAATCTCAAAACATAAAAAGAATGCGAGGCACTTGCAACTCTAAGCAGCTTTTCTTTTCTTTTCCTTCTTCCTTCTTCCTTCCTTTGTTGTTCTCTGTAGGATGAGGCAGTACTTATTTTCATGGATGAAATTAACACCCATATTTCTCTGTGCTAGTCAGGCTCTCTCTGGGGACAAGGTCGGAGCTGTGCTTGTGTTACTCAGGTGATGACGGTTGCATGTAAAGATAAACAGAATTAGGTGAACACAAGAAACATCTCAACAGCCGCACAGTCCAGCCTCCTGGAGAATGGCTCTACTGTTCATCACTGCAAGGATCAAGCACAGCTCTATGACCCAACGGCAGTTCAGGGAAACATGTCTTCTGGCCTCTTGAGAAGTGCACTTATTTATTTCTACTGCTCTTTGTGTCTGTTTTTCCCTTTAGCTAATTCTTCCATTGTTTCAGCTTCTATGTCCCTCTTAGTGTATTCTTCATTTAAAAAACCTTAGGAAAGGGCATCAAAATGAACTGGCTGATCACCATCTAATATGGGCTGCTTCCACCAGTCAGGCCATAGCCTTCAGTGCTGCTCTTACAATGCACAGACAGACGGCTGCTTGTGACTCCAGGTGCTAACCCGGAATGTGAACAAGCTTACATAAAACAAACAAAGCAACCGATGGCCACTTTGCTCAGAAGGGAGAACATAAAAACAGGAGGTAAATCTTTCTCTACATTTTAGATAGCTGAAATGTACTTTCTATCCAGCTAAAAGAGCCTTGATTAGACAGATCATCATAAAAAAAATATATATATATAAATTATATATATATAAAATTAAATGCCCATCTACAGAAGATGATGGCTTGATAAATTATAGTTTCTCTAATCCCTACATAACTTATGATTCTAATTTCTAATTATCTAGTATCTAACACCTAATGCATCTTCTTCAAGGTCTCTCTTCCACCAGGGTCTCAATTCGGAATGGCAAACTCACAGTGAGGCGGAAGTGGTCTTTGTGCTTCTGGTGAACTGCAGATGTGAAGTGCTGATCACTCGGCTGAGGAAGGCGATTTTCTTCATCCAGAATATCCAGTATTCCCACTAATTTTGCTTCAATTAAATCTATTTCAAAAAATCAAAATACTATAGGGTAAAAAATAGAACATCTTGAAGATATGTGAACAATTTACTGATCATAAATTTCAAGGACTGCCCAGAAACAACATAACAGATGATTCTATAAGTATTCTCTCAAAAGCTATAGAGAACAGATGGATTTTATTTCAAATCTGGTAATTTATTAGGAAGTAATACATTTAATATAGGTTTTAGAAAACTCCATAAAGAAAGTGACTAATATAAACCATTCCAATTGTAAGCCAGGATAAGAGGCTAAGGGAAAAGAAATTCCTCCTCTTCCAGATGATATCTATATTCAAAATGAAGTAAAACTACAGAAGCTTTTGTATGCACTGCTTTTTAATACCACTTATAGATATCAATTTACGTGTTTTCCACCAAAACCTTTCAGTAATAGCACATTTTTATGCTCCTTCCATTCATGTTGTTCAAATTTCCTGCCTTTACAAAATAACTGTAAAATGTAAGCTGCTTAAATACAATATATAAGAACTGTTAAATGGGACAGACTCTAAAAGTCACAGGACATATGAAGAGACATCAAGATTCTGACTGCATTGGTCAGAGAATGATGCTTCTTGGGCAATTAGTGGCAGTAAAGGGGCGGGCATGCTGAACTAAGCTATAAATGAGAGTATTCTGAAAGGTGTAGAAGTATGTGGAAGTTGGCTGAAAGATAAATGGAAGGGGAGAAGTTCCAGCCAACCAAGATATCAAACCATACAGGCTATGGCACACGGGACTGAGAAAGGATATGGTGTGCGAAGGGAATGCTGAGTGGACCAGGTAGGATGTGCAAGTGCTTTGAAAAGTTATGCTAATGTAAAGTCATACTAATGAAAAGTTATACTAATGTCATATAATAGTATCTTGTCCAAATCTAGCACATGAGTTACTGACTTGATTGTCAAATTGGATTTCAAAACAAGGCTTGCCCAACAGTCGATTTTAGAGATGAGATGGGAAAGAAAAAGAACACTGAGCACTAGCTAGGTGGCCACAGGAAAGGTTTCTTTAGTGATAATAATGAACAAGAAAAACAGAGATCCTGTTCTGCTGCTGCAATTATCCAGATATTACATGTGGAACTTCCGAAGCCAATCTGCAACCGGCCAGAGGGGGCTGCCGACGCCCAGAGGAGAAGAGAAGCAGGAGAAGCACAGAACCACAGGGCCAAATCAAACCCTGACCAACCTCCCTGGAGCCGGGCTAAACTATGGACTTCCTCACGTGAGATGATAAATCCCTCCACTGCTTAAGCAACTTAGTTACTTTCTTACCTTATTCACATGTTAGTTGTTTAAGTAAGAAAATACTCATCACAGTAAATAGAAGAAATTTTAGGAAAACTCTCGACATAGCTGAATTTGATGCCTTGGTAGGAAAAATAACTTCCTAAAATACTAGAGAAGTAAAACCTCTCTCAAATACCACAGTTTCAAGTCTCATAACCAGTAATATCAATCACAGAGCATAGAAAATTACTAGTAAAAGCATTCACTCTATCTTCCCACATTTCCCAAAAGTGGAGCAAAAAATATACATACCTATACAGTCCTGATTATCCACATAAGGTACTTCATTAACACCTAAACCTTCTTTTTGATAGAGTTCTTGTTCCTAAAATGAAATAATCATAATCCTAGATGGAGAAATACTGTACGATATAAAATGGATTGAATGTTCTGTGCCATTTCTGATTATAACATTTATTGATTAGTCAAGTACAAAGGTTCATAACAACTAGTTCAGGGGCCGAGGAGTCTTACAAAACATTAGGGAAGAAAAATCCTTGCCACTAAAGCAATGTGAAATCAAAAACCAAATGGCCAACAGAAGATTCATATGTGGAAATGTTCCCTCCTGCAGATTAAGGACACTGTTCTTGAAATACACAGAGCAGCTATGCACAAATAGAGATTTGTTTATAACCATTCAAACCCAAGGAAAGATCAGGGCTTTGAAATATTTTTTAGCAATTTTAAAGTGAGGGGAAGGGAAGAATTAGGGTATGTTAAGTGATAAGCATACATGTAAAACTTCACATAGTAATGGAGGAACTAATGTAGCTGGATAAAATATTTTCAGAGAAACTATCTTAACTGATAAGTACTTGTTTCACCTGTTTATTTATGCCAGAATTGGTTTAACTATAGTATATAAGTAAAATGTACAAAAGGAAGAATGTGCTGGGAAACTCAAAGACAAAAACATAATTAAAAATGTGGGAAAAGATGGATGGGGTGGGAAGAGGAAAGCAAGTATTTCCCATTTCAAGCCCAGATACAGTGGAGGATGGAACTTAGAAACCAGCAGTGCTAACGTGAAGAGAACACAGTGCTGTGGGGCAGCCGCCAGGAAGGCGGATTCAGACCTGCAGGAGTCACTGGACTACTCTGGGAATTATTTTCTTCATCTGTAAAATAAAGGGCGGAACTACATTACTTCTGAGTTCCCTTTCACTCCACTATCTTCATTCAGTAAAATGTATCTCAAGTAGCACAAAGGAGGGAAAGTCAAGAGTATTGGTAAGAAAATACTGGAGAATTCAAATACAAGGGAATTCAAAATGGTGAGCGAAACACAAATCAACAGATCCAAAGCTACCTTTACTTGCTCTGCACTCTAAAGAACTACAAAGCAACCTTCCTAGACTTGGGACTGTGAGTGTCAGCCACGCCCACAGTTATTCACCAAGGGCAGTGGCGGAAATTGCTCACTGGACCAGAGGTGGTGTCCGCTCTTCGCAGGCGACTGGCGGTGCACAGGGGAGCATGGCAGGGAAAGCACTGCCCAGGCACTCCAGGCCCATGCACTCATTGAATCTCCTGACTTGGTGGCTTTCCTGCCACACAGAGAGAAGACGAGCATGTAGCAGAGTGCGAAGAAGAAGACAGACCCAGAGGAAGGGTGGGCGATGCCAACGTCGGGGATGAGAGGAAGAGAATTGTTTGGCTGTGGCTGGAGCAGAGACAACAGAAGCAGAAAAGAAATAAGCAGAATTTCAAGTCTAGTGAGCCACTAGTAAGAAGCAGTAGCTGTTCACTTCTGAGGAGGTGTCTGTTAGTTTCCATCGGGTCTCTAAGCTTCGACTGCACCGTTAGAACTTCTGATGTGCCTGAATAACAACTGAGCCACAGGGGGCTACACGGGGCATCTTTGATTCCCTGGGCCACCGTACATGACACCTCACCAACCAGGGTGACTGTGGCATGTCTCTGTTCCTTGAAATTTAAAATAGCTTCATGCAGTTCTTAAATTTAAATTGTAATGGCAATTACCTCCTTCAGAATCCTTTCATTAAAAAATTGTTGAAGTTTTTCATTGCAATAGTTGATGCAAAACTGTTCAAAACTGTTATGTTCAAAGTACTCTGAAAACATAAAACCAGAATCAAGAGTCATCATTATATCAACTTCATATTAATAAGTTTATCTTATGATAAAATTTTATTGTATCAATGCTTAATTTAATATTAGGTAAAAAAATATATATAATTGTTCTATATTCCCCAAGTGCACTTAGTTCAAGACTTAAATTTTGTTAGGCTTTAAAATTAAGTATTAAAAATACCTTGCTTCACTTGACAAAAAAAGGTGTTTGTCAGATAAGATAAATCTCATATAGTAAAGATACAAAACATAAGCCACTTTCAACAGAATTTTTTAAGCACAGGTAATAAAGCAATCTAAACTAAAGAACAAAAATGGCTTAAAATGCAAGTGCTTCAGATTTTCCTGTTTCACCTGTACAATTACAGTTATTAAGAAATGTGATGGATACTAACTCATTTCTAAAACTGAGAGACTGTATTATATGCTCTCTAAGATCCCCGCAGCTGTGTTATGATTCTATGTATGCATGTGTGATGCTAAAACTGGTGCAGACCAGGAAGCGATGTCTGAAGACCATGAAATCTTAAAACAGTGATGAGTGTTTCTCTACTTTTGAACAAAAGGTAATGATTTGTTATAAGTTTTAAAATATATATCACATCAAAAACAAAACTCAGGGGCGGGCCTGGTGGCCTAAAGGTTAAGTTCACGAGCTTCACTTCGGTGGCCTGGGGTTTGCGGGTTCCGATCCTGGGTGCGGCCCTACACACCGCTCATCAAGCCATGCTGTGGCAGCATCCCACATAAAAAACAGAGGAAGATGAGCACAGATGTTAGCTCAGGGACAATATTCCTCACCAAAAAATAATAATAATAATAATAAAATTTAAAAAACAAAAATCTCTGGGCCAGCCCTAGTGACCTAGTGGTTAAGTTCGGTGCAATCTGCTTGGGCGGCCTGGGTTCAGTTCCTGGGCAGGGACCTACACCACTCATCAGTCAGTGGCCATGCTGTGGTGGCGGCTCACATACAAAAAGAGGAAGAATGGCAGCAGATGTTAGCTCAGGATGAATTTTCCTCAGCAAAAAAATAAGTAAATAAATAAAATAGAAGGGCATTCTTTAAAAAAAAAAACTCTGCCTTTCCCAAAATGTAAACAGTCATACTTTCCCTTGGCAAAGGCTAACAAACTACAAAGGAAGAAGACTCCATCCAACACAGCCAGAAGGTATGCCCACACTGATAAAAGCCCAATATAAAAACGGTCAGATTTACTCAGATGTTTACAACACGGTCCTTCAGACCAAAGTGGCATTTAGATGTTGGTGACTCATTTCATATCTGATTGCAGATTCATATCTGCAGTTGTTCTCAAATATTTATCTTGATATTTTATTCATTTAGTGGAAATTAACTGGAAATAGCTATCTGTTGACAGTTAACACTAATAAAGAATTTTTACACATAGTAACAAGTATGGCCCATATGCTAGGTCATTCTGTACCCCAGCTCTACACTGCAGTCAATGGTTTTAATAACTTAATTCTCTCTATCAGTAGCACTCAAGACTTACCTTTACTTAGCTGCATTCATTTAAGAGTATAGAGACATCTCCTAACTATAGTGGTTTCAATCAACATGTTTTAACTTTAGCATTAGTGTGACCATAACCCATGAGTCATTCTTTTTTTTTTTTTTTGGAAGCATCAACTTCCTATTTAAATCATATTATGAAACGTAGGTAGGGACATATGACTGAAAATTCATCAAGTGAAAGGTATTACAAGGGAAAAAAGGTTATTTTTTTTTGTTTTAAATGTGTGAAAACCTGAATGAAAAATATCAAACTCACAAACAAAATTATACTTACCAAAACCAGCAATATCTAGGACTCCAATAAAATAGGATGATGTTTCAAAAGGAAAACATTCATTTACTCTGTTTACCACATGATCAAAAAGATGGCTGTAGACAGTCTTTGCCAAGGCATCTCGAGCGTTGTTTGCCTGCTCCACTTTCAGGGGTACTCTATAAAAGAAGACTATACCAATGAAAATCCTTGACAGTAACATATTGTGAAAACAATGCCAGATACCCAAGATCAAAGGACATCTAAGCATCTGCACTGTGAAGAACAAAATAAACAGTTACAAAAGGTCCTTTGTGAATGGCCACAGACAAATGGGGCTAAGTATAACACTACAAGAGAAGAACTAAAGGAATTACTTAGAATTAGATTAAAAATTTATTATTGAGGGGCCGGCCTCAGCAGCAGTTAAGTTCGCGTGCTCTGCTTCGGTGGCCCCGGGTTCGCAGGTTCGGATCCCGGGCGCAGACCTACGCACCACTTGTCAAGCCATGCTGTGGTGGCGTCCCATATAAAGTAGAGGAGGATGGGCACGGATGTTAGCCCAGGGCCAATCTTCCTCAGCAAAAAGAGGAGGATTGGCATCGGATGTTATGTCAGGGCTAATCTTCCTCACAAAAAAAAAAATCTACTATTGAGTAAAAGAGCTTCAGGCTCAAAACATCTTTTTAACCTTAATTTATACTTCACTGTACATGCCAAATATATAAAAAACTGTTCAGAGGAATAATCTTCCTTTTGACTTTCCTTAAATGCAAAAGAAATTGTGTTTAATTCAGGATAACTTTCAAGTTCAGTAACTTGTTTAACATTGTGTAGGAAAAAATGTTTACATCTTAAAATTAGAAGTGCCCAACTCTATTATTTAATATAAGTAACTACACGGTATTAGATGTTACAGACACAGACACACAACCCATGCCCTCAAGAAAATTACAGTCTGATGAAGAGAGATTGCCATAAAAGAGAATTTCCAAACACCATGCTAAATGCTGTCATAAATGTAGGCACGGGGAACCATGGGAGCACCAGAAAAAAATAACCAATTTGGAAGTAACATTAAAAGTCATTCAGATCAGACTGATACCTGAATCCCTTCGAAACAGTGGTTTTCCAACTTCTATTTCCTGCAATGGAACCCTTTCCTAAAGAGAATCTTATGTGAATACTCCATACATAAAACACATGAAAGAACTGCTGTAGGATAAAGGGGAAACAGAGATGACACCTGAGGACCACCCACCTGTGCTTCTACTGGCCTCTTCTTGGGCCTCAGAAATCTCTCCAAGGAACCAAGTGGCCAAAAGGCACTACTATACATCCTCCTCACCAAGGTTTTCTTTATAATAAGAATAATTTGGAATTAGCTTAGCAAAGAATCAGGCTAAGCAAACCTTGCTCATATGTCGCAAAGCGTAAGAGCTACCAAATTTTCTGAGTGGCTAAAAGTTTGGTTTTTTTTTTAATCCTTTTTGTTTTAATTTGTTGAAAATTTTTCTGAAATATGTCACTAGAACTCACTGCCTGCCTTACTTAGCAAGGGACAGAGGATCTGACTTTTTCCCCCACAAATGAAGATCTTACAGTGCCTCAAAATGATGACTGAACTTCAATTTTTACAGTACCAGAAACAAAAATGCATAAAACATACAAGACTGAGCCAAGAGTGTACACAGACCCAGACACCACCTACAGGTACTTGTTACTGATCTAAAAAATCTTGGCTAGGCTCCTTTTGTCTTACCATCTGCAATTTCCTCCAAATGAAGAATCTTAAAGGTAAGGAGAAATTCTATTTGCTGAGTGTTTTACTCAAGTGAGTTCTACTTACAAATTTTAGTACAAGCCATTTGCAAGGAAAATCACTTTTAAAGTAAAATCTGTCACCTTCTGAAACTAAATAATGGTAATGTTGCACAACCTCATAAATATACTATAAACCACTAAATGGTACACTTTTTTTTAACTGAATTATATCTCAAAAAAATACACTATTCTGAAAAATTGAAGAAAAAAAAATGTTACCTAAAAGTCAAATAATGATTAACATAATCAACTATTTTTGTAGTTATACAAAAGTAAACCTCTCTCTTACCTTATCAACTCCAAATCTGTGCCCTGCAGCACGTGTGTAAGGAATCACTTGAAGAGCTATGGAAGTCAGTGTGCATTTACATGGTGGATTACTGCACTGAGATGCACGGAAGTTTGAGGTATCAAGCACGTTTTAGAACATTATAATGAAAAGAATGAATCACGCATAAAGATCAACTTTAAATCTCAGTGTTCTCAAAAAATGATTCTGCCTTGACAAACCTCAAGGCAGGATTTTTACCAAGTAATGAGTTAAGGAACTTACTTTATAACTGTCCCTTTGGTGCCCCCTGCTGTTGTTAGCATGACTCTTGTAGTTAGACTTACACGAAGATCATCTTGATCCAAACCCAGTAATTCAGCACAACATTCCAATGACTGAGTAGATTTATTCTTCAGATTACAACCACCTAACGAAAATATATTTTAAAATTAACAAACATTATGTAAACCAGATTTCCAAGATCCACTTCTTAGAAGTACACTTGACTTACATAAAACTATGGAATAGAGAAGGCTTATTTGTGACTTTTAATTTCACTCCACTTTTTCACCACCCTTGTCAGACACTCATACTGCCAAGGTCAACAGGAGACCCTCACCTGAGGGAGCCCATGATAAATCCTTTCAGCCCATCAATATTAACCTGCCACTGTTTCATTTTTTTATGACCCTGCAAGTGAAATATATTAATGATGGATTACAATCCTCGTTAATATATTAAATCTCTGAAGAAATATAGTGCCTTAACATTAAAACTCATATGACTCCAGAAAACTTCCAAGAGCAATTTTAGAGGCAAATGTTGTAAGGCACTTTAGTAGGTCAATGTGGGTGTCTGTGTGTGTGTGTGTGTGTGTGTGTGTGTGTGTGTGTGTGTTCATTTGCACATGCTCATGTTACTTGAGGACAGAGGAAGCGGGTGAGGAGGGAACAGCTATTACCTGTATATCATATCTAGAGATTTCTATCCATGGAGGCTGTTTTAAAAAGTATTATATAGAAAGACAGTATACTACAGTGCTTTAGACTCTGGGCTAATATGGCTCTATAACTTATTAGCTATGTGACCTTGAACAAGTTGCTTATTCTCTCTGTGCCTTTTCCTTATCCATAGAATGAGGACAATAACTGTACTTACCTAATAAGGTTGTTATGAAGAATAATAAGGTGACACGTGAAGTGCCTGGAATAGTGCCTAGGGCAGAGTAAGCACTATATAAAGGTTGACTATTATTATCTTTATTATTACTACTAATATTAAAAATAAACATTTTACTAATATTTTTAAGGTTTAATTATAAATGATTCATTTCAAGACTAATTTCAAAACTACAAAGAATGTGTAAAAATCATTCTATCATGACAAATTAATAAAGTATTTAATAGACTCATCTGAGGAGAAACAGACATGAGACCTTATACGAATAAGGGGTTGTCAAGACAATTTATTGGGGAAAGAACAGCTTTTTCAACAAATGGCTCTGAGACAACTGGATATCCACATGCAAAATAATGAAGTTGGACCCCTACTTCACACCATACACAGAAATTAACTCAAAATTAATCAAAGACCTAAATGTAAGAGCTAAAACTATTAAACTCTTAGAAGAATACACAAACATAAATCTTCGTGATCTTGGAGTAGGTCATGGTTTCTTAGATATGGCACCAAAAGCACAAAAAAGGAAAAAATAGACAAATCGGGCTTCATAAAAATGAAAAACTTTTGTGTTTCAAAGAACACTATTCAAAAATTGAGAAAATAACCCACAGAATGAGAGAAAATATTTGTAAATTATATATCTAATAAGAAACTTGTATCTAGAATATATAAAAAAACTTACAACTTGATAATAAAAAGACAATCCAATTAATGAATGGGCAATGGATATGAACAGACATTTCACCAAAAAAGATATACAAATGGCCAATAAAGACATGAAAAGATGCTCAATGTCATGAGCCATCAGGGAAATGCAAATAAAAACCACAGTGAGATATCACTTCACATGCACTAGGATGGCTATAATCAGACAGACAGACAGTGTTGGTGAGTACGTGGAGAAACAGGAACCTTCATACACTGTTGATGAGAAAGTAAAATGGTACACCTACTTTGGAAAATGGTCCGACAGTTTCTCAAAGAGTTAAACAAAGAGTTACTACATGACTCAGCAATTCCACTCCTAGGAATATACCCAAGAGAAATGAAAACACATGTCCACACAAAAACTTTTACACGAATGTTTATAGCAGCATTATTTATAATAGCCAAAGATGGAAACAACCCAAATGTTCATCAGATGACGAACAGACAAACAATATGTGGTATATCCATAAAATGGACTATTACTCAACAATAAAAAGAAATGAAGTTTTGATACATGCTACAACATGGATGAACCTTGAAAACATTATGCTAAAGAAGCCAGTCACAAAAGACCACATATTGTATGATTCCATGTATATGAAATGCCAATAATAGGCAAATTTATAGAGAGAGAAAGTAGAATAGTGATTGCCTAAGGCTGAGAGATTTGGGAGGGAACAAGGGGTGACTGCTGACAGGTATGGTGTTTCTTTTTGGGGTGATGAAAATGTTCTAATACTGATTGTGGTGATGGTTGCACAACTCTAAATATACTAAAAACCCCTGAGTTGTACACTTTAAATGAGTGAGTTGTATGGTATATGAATTATATTTCAACAAAGCTGTTACCAAAAAAAATAAGGGGAGAAGAATACTTAGAAGATATATTAAACCTTTAATTCTATGAAAGTAAGCTTACTACTAATTTCTAGTTTCTACACACATACACATTATCTAAAATCATATAATTCTCAAAAAATTGACCACCAATAATTCATTAATTCATTTAAATACTTCTTTCTTACAATTTTGCAAAGTTTCTCACACATTTCCAGGAATTATGTAATGCTTACATAAGAAAAAATTGATTTTAAAGTTTTAAACAAAGTACTGTAAAATAATTCAAGGGTTTCATGTCACTTCCTTTCCAAAAAAGAACTTATTTAAACATTTTTAAAATTTGTTCTTATATGTATATTTTTGCTATGTGGAATTTAAAAAATAGGAAGTCCCAATAGGTATTTTTCACATTTCCATCATGAAAAAATTCTTAATAATAGTAAGTGTCTTCTAAACATTTATTGGAGAATAAATTTTCTGATAAAATAGTTACAAAAATATCTAGAGCTTTTTCAAATTGTGAGGACATGACAAAATCGAGCTCTCTAGGGGGAAAAAATCAATTCTAAACCATTTGGATCTATAGGACGGGTCATAGGAAGAATGAAGATTAATATAATAAAATCTTAGTTATTAAAATAAAAATAACCTAGTTTATTAATTCTCCTGATGATTGCCTCATGCCAGTCTTCTCTGCTTTCTGTTTATTTTCCCTTCAACCGAAAGAAGTTTGAGAAGAAAAATAAAAGATAACGTAAATATGTGCTATGTGCCTTTTGACTGTTTAAGTGCTTTTCAACTAACTAGAACATGCCATGTTTATGATCCTCTGTATACCTGCAAGTTCTAACACAGGGTAATAATATGAGGCAGGAAAATGCCACTATCTCTTCTAACAACACTTCCAAAGTGTGCATTAATTATTTTGAACTTTTTTGTATTACTTAGAACTCCCACGTGCTGCCAGGCATAACAACGCTACAGAGCAAATGAAACATATTCTAACATACATCAGATTTTCAAAACAAATTTTCAAATCCCTCAAAAAAACTAATAAAAAATTTTAATGCATATTAAGAACATACCTGATTTTGCTTGGTTTTCTTTTTATTTTAAACTGGGAGTAATCTTTATTTTTATTTTACTTATTCATTAAAACACTTACAGTATGTGCCAGACATAAGTATTTGCATCATTTTACAAATATTTAACTCATTTATTCCTCTTTAAAACATGAAGTAGGGACTGTGATTATCTCTAGTATACAGGTGAAGAAACTGAGACATGGAGAGGTCAAGTCCTGGCCCAAGGTCACACAGGCAGGTCATACGGAGTCAACAGTCTGGCTCAAGAGCACGTGCTCTTAAATACTACACTAGGTTGCCTCTGAGGTTGCTGACTTCACAGCATCACAAGACGCTGAAGCTGAACGTCATTAAGACGGTCTATTTCAGTCTGCTCACTCACAGCTTGGGACTGTGCAGTGACAGGGGCAGTGAGGGCCAATTATCACAAGTACCTGAGACAGCTGGAAATGGGTAGAACCCGCCTCCCACATCTACAACTTCATTAATAACCATATCACTTCACTTCTGCACAGGCTCCACTTCTGTAAAATGGAGATAACACCCTCTACCTCATCATCTTCATGAAGTTTAGATTATGATTACGCTGTTTACGATGAAATACAGTATATGAAGAATCTAGTACATAGCAGACATTTTTTTTAAATGTTCTTTTTCCTTCTTCTTGTGCCCTTTCCCTCTATGCATACTACAGCTAAGTACTATACTTTAAAAGCACTTCACATGGATAATTTTTTCATTATTCTACAAATGAAAAAAACAACACTCAGAGAGCTTCTCGAATCTGATACTAAAGCCCATGTTATTGACTGTGATATTAAATGGTATTTTCAATTTTTTTTTAACTCATTCTTGATATAAAATTTTTAAATAACTTATTTATGCAGGAGTCAACATGTTTTTCTCTAAAGTGTCAGATTTTAGGCTTTGCGGGCTGTACAGTCTCTGTCACAACTACTCAACTCTGCCACTGAGCATGAAAGATGGCATAGACAAGACATGAAAGAATAGGTGTGCTGTGATACTTACAAAAACAGGCAGCTGGTCAGATTTGGCCATGGGCCACAGTCTGCCAACCCTGTATTCATGGATCAAACTTAAGATTATACAAAAAGCCTTACTGTTTACGCAGAGACTGAAACACGAGGGTTGAAAAGTTACTATCATCCAAGCATTTAAATGCTCTTTCCAATTTGCATAAAGTTAACTTATTTTCATTTCCCAGTAATAAAGTATATGGGCTTTTATGTATTCAATTGCCCTAATTAACTGATCCAACTTTAGATCAATGAACCAGAAAACTGTCAAAATACCTTAATAGATAGCAGAGAATTATTCTGTTCACTTATTTAGAAAAGTATAATATCAGTTGAAAAATTTAACTAAATATGACCCCGGTAGTCAGAGATACTTATTCTTCATAAAATGAGAAGTTTATTCCTCATCAGTATCACTGATTTGTTCAAAACCGAGCTCATAATGACTAATAATGCAGCATCCTTCATTTGCAAGATTCACCATGTAACACAGTATATTCTAGAAATTTCAGGGTATTAACAAACCTGCACAAAAACAGATTCAACTTACTTATGACAAAGAAATCACAGAACTTCTAATGTTACTCCTCTTTAAAAAAAACAAAACAAAGCAAAAAACCATAAACAAAAAAACCTGAAGTGCTGCCGGCTTCCTCAAAATCAATATTTCCAAGGTGCAGGACACCAGCTACCACCCGGAACAGATCCAGCTTTTCTTCATCACCCAGACCAATCTTCTTCATGGCCGTGCACATTCTAATAAAGTCTCCATGGTCATCTAACAGAGGGTCTTTCAAGGAACCTGCCTTAAGATACTACAAAACAATAAGACATCAATAAACTGCTCTTTATATTACTTAAGTATACTAAACCAACTGCACAAGGTCTATTAATGCATTATATAACATGCAAAATAAAATGTATCAATGGAAAAACTTTAGTATTCTAACATATTCAAAAACTGAATGGGTAAAGTGCACAACAGGGTCTCTCTGTATTATTTCTCTCAACTGCATATGAATCTACAATTATCTCAATAAAAATTTCAATCGTGGCTTAGCGGTTAAGTGCACGTGCTCCGCTACTGGTGGCCCGGGTTCGGATCCCGGGCGCACACCAACGCACCACTTGTCCGGCCATGCTGAGGCCACGTCCCACATACACCAACTAGAAGGATGTGCAACTATGACATACAACTATCTACTGGGGCTTTGGGGAGAAAAAGGGGCAAAAAAGGAGGAGGACTGGCAATAGATGTTAGCTCAGGGCGGGTCTTCCTCAGCAAAAAGAGGAGGATTGGCATGGATGTTAGCTCAGGGCTGATCTTCCTCACAAAAAAAAAAAATTTCCATCAAAAATGGAATGAGATGTTTTCCAATTAAATTACAATTTTAACTCTAAAGCATTATAATACTAGGATATTAGATAAAAATATAAATTGAGTGAAAAAGGGGAATATCAGTGGTTGAAATGAATCGATAGATCAAAAAGAACTAAGGTAAAAAACTGTAATAAAAGTTTAAATATGTAATAAAAATTTAAATTTAAAGCATTATACTCTTTCATGTCAACTGCCATCAACTGCACCAACACTCAACAGCAGTAAACAGTGGACAGGCTAATAACAATTTTTGTGGCCTGAGAATTATTTTTTAAGCCTTTCTATATAAATATATATGAGTAAAGTGTATTAGTAAGCATTATGCTTACTCTAAGAATTTATGCAATGACTGAAAACATTTCAGAAAAAATGAAGACAAAATTTGGTTTCTTTCCTAAAAGAATTTGCATCTCAAGTATTCATTTGTTAGAACCTAAAAAAAACTCAGAAAAAGGGATGAAGAAAGTCAGGCCTGCAGAAACTAGAAGGAGAAAAATAAAACTTACTGGACACATTAAGACTGGACTAGGAATTTTCCAGAACTTGAGAATTAATAAGTAAAATTAGACATTAGGTAACAGCATCAGAATTAGCTGGCCATTAAAGATACCTCTAGGAGATGTTTTTTCCCTCCCAGTTGCCAATTGCTTCCCAGCTAAAGTTGTAATTGTCTTTCCATAAAATTCTTTAAAATGTTTAATTATGCTTGTGTGAAATTTCTGGAAAATGTCTAGATAAAGAAATGTAATTTTATTCTTAAAAGAAGCAAAGGAAACAATCACATGCAGCCAAAGTTAACAGAAAACACATATGCAGAATTTTTAGTCTTGCAATTAAATGGTTATTTCATTTAATAACTGTTTCCAAATAAACTTTAATGAACATATTGCTATTATGGCAGACTAAAAATACTGCATTCTCTTAAAAATTGCACACAGCTTAAAGACACTCAAATGGAACTAGGCAAAGGATTCTAATTAGTCAAAATGATCACCTCATCCTCCTGATAAAGAAGACATAAAAAGTAAATATATTAATCCATTGCTCACTTATATATTTTTATATATACACTCAATAACATGAATAAGATTCCTGACAAAGTATGCTTACTCTAGAATACGAAAGAGGATATTTTTTTCTTAGAAGAGAACAAAGAGCACATGTTACTCTTTGGAAAGTAAAATCCAATTTTCTTTCCTTTCTACTCAGTTTTTTCCATGCCAAAAGATCAAATTTTTATATATATATATTTTTTTTTTCTTTTTTTTTTTCCTTTAAGAAAAATAGCTGCTATGTCCCACTAGGAAATGTCTCCATTACCTTAGTGGAAAAACACAATTTCTGTATTTTGATGATGCCTTATAAAAATATAGGCTATTATGACAAAAGAAGATACCACAATAAATACTAATGTCAGTTCTTAAAGTTCCAACCATGGTTGTAACATTAACTAAAGTTTATGATTTATAATTCAGACATCTGTGTCTATGATAATAAATAACATGTCAACTTAAACAAAACTTAATTGCAGACTCATCTGCTTAGAATTTGAAATAATGGGAATTTTTATTTGCTTTCTGTTCTTTTCTATGAATATATTAAAGATATAATGCATCTCACTCATTTTGAAAGGAGTCAAAAATATTTGACTCACAAATACAGGAGCATTAAGACTGAGTATAATAAAAACTTGTTCAATTAAATACTCAATACAAATCTTTTAATAAAATTAATAAAGACAATATGAACTAGTACCTATAATCTTGACTTACTATTTCATAATTTAAGCTCCTTGAGCAGATATAACTTAATACCACTTATTACTTAAACAATGCATATTAAAATTTATAAGGGATTTTTAGATTAAGGATTTAATGTTTTTAAAATAATACTTACTGGTATAATTATATATAATTACTCTTAGAAATATAATAATTTAGGGGCCGGCCCCAGGGCTTAGCGGTTAAGTGCGCACTCCGCTACTGGCGGCCAGGGTTCGGATCCCAGGTACGCACCAACACACCACTTCTCCGGCCATGCTGAGGCCGCGTCCCATATACAGCAACTAGAAGGATGTGCAGCTATGACACAACTATCTACTGGGGCTTCGGGGGTGAAAAATAAAAAGGAGGAGGATTGGCAATAGATGTTAGCTCAGGGCTGATCTTCCTCACAAATAAAAGAAAAAGAAATATAATAATTTAGTAAGACCTATATATAAAACTTCTTGTAATACATTACAGAAATACGATGTTTTAAAGAGAAATACAATAATATACAAGCATTAGTTCACAAGAATGCTTACTGATTTACTGTCTACTGTCTACTTCAATGCTTATTTCAGCCTTGAAGTAGACAATAAATTATAAAGAATATATTTCATACTTAATCTCAAGTGGATAATATGAGAGTGAGTTTCTAAAATGTTAGCAAAGGATAATTTTCACGCAGTTTAATACCCTCATGCTGGGAAAAAGAACAAGAGGAGAGCAGCAGGTTGAGGCCTACCCAAGAGGAACAACAGAGGCATGAAGCATTGCACTGTGAGAGAGAGACGGATGAGGATTTAGTTTTTAAAGTATAAGCCTAAAAGTAAGAAATCTTATTTGAGCTCCAAAATAAAAAATATCTTTCAGCATGATTTTTTCGTATTAAAGATTTTAATTTAAAAAAATAGTCTACTATACCTCAGGACTTTTTCGGTTCTGTAAAATCTGTTTGTCAGTTTCTTTGTTAGCAAAGTATCTAGTGCAGCCTCGGTTTAAATACTATGACAAAGAAATTTAAAATAAAATTAACAAATATGATTCATAGGAAAATAATACAGAAGACAACACAACTTATCAAATACTGTGAGTCATAAAGAATTTCTAAACATAACCAGAGTATCATTTAATCTCTCAATTAAAATCGATCCTTCTCGGGCCGGCCCCGTGGCTTAGCGGTTAAGTGCGCACACTCCGCTGCTGGCGGCCCGGGTTCGGAACCCAGGCGCGCACCGACTCACCGCTTCTCTGGCCATGCTGAGGCCGTGTCCCACATACAGCAACTAGAAGGATGTGCAACTATGACATACAACTATCTACTGGGGCTTTGGGGGAAAAATAAACAAAATTTAAAAAAAAAAAAGAATTTCTAAACATAACCAGAGTATCATTTAATCTCTCAATTAAAATCGATCCTTCTCAGGCCGGCCCCGTGGCTTAGCGGTTAAGTGCATGTGCTCCGCTACTGGTGGCCCAGGGTCGGATCCTGGGCGTGCACCAATGCACCGCTTGTCCGGCCATGCTGAGGCTGTGTCCCACATACAGCAACTAGAAGGATGTGCAACTATGACATACAACTATCTACTAGGGCTTTGGGGAAAAAAAGGAAGAGGATTGGCAATAGATATTAGCTCAGAGTCAGTCTTCCTCAGCAAAAAAAAAAAAATCGATCCTTCTATAAAATTACAAACATGTCACTCTTACTAATCATCAGACTAGTAATACTATCTAGGGATACTGAAAATCCTAATTCCTGAAAGCAGATTAAATTAACTGATTAATATAAAAATCAATATTATAAAGCTTTCCTATTTTTTAAGGGCAGCAATTTTAAATCTTCTCAGTGTTAAATATCTTATTAAAAATATAGTTCATAAGATAAGTACTACAGATAATAATGAAAATCATCTCCCTACAAAATACGTAAAGAGTCTCAAATAAGGACCCACACATTGTGGTTTAATATGTTAAGTAATATTTTAAATTCTGAATAATTAACAAATATTATCCTTGAGTTTCTTAATTTCTGATTTTTAGAGTCAGTTCTTCAAAACCTCCGTTTCATATTTACTGAAAGTTAACACCGCTTATACATAAATTATAATACTTGCTTTACGTGGCCTTCATAGGTATTCAAGTAACAATTTCAGCTTTTGTCTCAATGCTTTACTTTGCTGCCCAGAAGCCTTTTAAAGACTAAGTGCTTTCCAAACAGAACAGAGAAGCAGTTGAGAAGCAAATAATATACTGGTTTCAAAGAGAATCAGTTACCCACATTTAAGGGGGAAAGGGGTCAGGAAGGAAGAACACAGGGAACAGGATGGGAAAATTTTTAAAACATCTCATCTTCTATTAAATCAAGTCACTATGATTCCACTGTATCATGGCATGAATTCCAAGATTAAATACACCACACCATATAGATTTCAAGAAAATATTTATAGTAAACTCTGAATGATTTGGGCATAAATTAATATTTTAGATGATCAATGCATCTGTCTTTCCCCCTCCATTAGTTAAAACCAAAAAATGACATGCAGTGAGTTTTTCTTTCTACCCTAGAATCTTTGGGGAAAAAAAATAAAACAGAAGGGAGGAGGATAATACTGGTAAGCATTTTCAACTGACTATTTAAAAAAAGAGTTCTTTTATTTAGTAAGACACTAGTAGCTTAAACATATAGAACCAAAACAAATGTTTTCTTTGCTAGCAAGAGGCTTACCCTCCCACTCCAACTGTTTCATTAAACACTTGACGTTTGGACAGATGGATTTAACAGTAAAATCTTGGAAAAATACTTGTTTCTTCCAACTTTTCTAATAGAAAGCTATAACTATTCTTGCCATCCATTCTCATTCTATCCAAGCTTTATGTATATTCAAGGATTTTTGCATGACTATAACGAATGCTTTCATAAAACGTGTAAAAATATTTGAAAATTTGAATAATGCAAGATCTTAAACCTCTATCTTCTAAAATTCATGCGTAGTTAATATAAATGTTTTCGAACAGGTGCATCTCTACTATTCTTTACATACTAAATTTTTGGAAGTGTTCACCCTACTGTAGGGTTCTCGCTTGTCTTTACAACCTTATCCATGAGTTATAACTGGAGGCCTACACCAAATCACAGAAAAACCCGATGAAATTACAAACACACTTTCAAATCACTTACAGGCAGACTCGTGTGGGGGAAGGGATATAGCAGTGTGTGTATGCATGTGTGAGAGGAAGATCCAAGACGGCAGATGTATCTGGGTGAAAGGTAATGCTGTTCCCCTCCTCTCCTCCTACCACCAAAAGGACTCTCTTGTAAGAGAAGAAATCATGCCTCCCAGTTCACACTGTAGAAGCAGGAAACTCTACAACCTACTAAAGAGTTTCAGTAGCTGCCCTCTTAGGATGCCTGCCACTGTGCCAGAAAAGGATATACATTCTGAGACACATAAAACCATGCTCCCAAACCTCCAAGCAGAAAGAAATGCTCGATTAAGACAAGAATAGTCACATCACTTATTAACTCAGTGTTGACAAAGCCACATTACCATTGTTAAATTTCATACGATGCATAGTAATTTACATTCCTTTTTGAAAAATCATTGTACAGAAATGTCTCTTCTACTTTCATGAAGATAATGTGGGCAACTAACTTCAAATTCCAATTAATTTGGTGAGTTCTAGAGAAGGCTGGACATTTTAGAAGTATATAAATAGATACAGTTATGAAGCATTTTAAAACAAAGTTTTAAAATTTCCAAATATACATTAAAAGAAACTGCTTGAAGTAATAAGAGAAGCTGGGCTGCAAAAACTAAATAACACATACACACACACATACAGAGAACAATAATTAAATAGAATATGTATGTCATGATTCCCAAAGAAGGACTCCTGCCCAAAGAGGACTATTAGAATCACCTGCAGAGGGCCGGCCCGGTGGCTCAGCGGTTAAGTGCGCGCGCTCCGCTACTGGCGGCCCGGGTTCGGATCCCGGGCGCGCACCGACGCACCGCTTCTCCGGCCATGCTGAGGCCGCGTCCCACATACAGCAACTAGAAGGATGTGCAGCTATGACATACAACTATCTACTGGGGCTTTGGGGAAGAAAAAAAAAAAAAGGAGGAGGATTGGCAATAGATGTTAGCTCAAAGCCGGTCTTCCTCAGCAAAAAAAGAGGAGGATTAGCACGGATATTAGCTCAGGGCTGATCCCCCTCACAAAAAAAAAAAAGGATCACCTGCAGAACTTCAAACAAACTACATTCCTTACCCCCATCTCATAATTCCCATACATCCCACACAGGGACACTATTTTCTAGCTGAGAATCTGTAAATTATGCTAACCTTCCCCAGTCACCACTTCTTGAAACTCCACTGGCTTGTGATTCATGCGCTCCTGATGTTCCTTGTACTTCTCTCACAACTTCACTGGTGCTTTCTCTCTTGTGCAACTCTTCATCTGCTCATCCCTTCTCCTCCAGAGGCTGGACCCTGGCACATGCTTCTCTATATTATGCAATCTCCCTGGACAATCTCATCTACTCATTGTTATAGTTTTAACCACCACCAGAATACTGACATCTCCCAAACCTGTCACTCTAGCACTGATCTTCAGCTTACTGTACCTGTCTTCCACTTAGATGTTCCATAGGCTCCAAAACTGAACTCATTCTATACGCCATAAACTTTCCATCTGGCCCCAATAATGGTATTTACATATCCACCCAGGTACCCTAGTCATGTTTTGGAAAATTATTCCAGACTCCTCCTTCTCTTTCCAAGTCCTATCAATTTTACCTCCTAATGTTTCACATATCCCCTTCTCTCTAACACTGCCATTGCTAAACCAAATTCAGGCACTGAGTAACTCTTACTTCAGTTGCCAACTAATCTACCCATGGTTTCAATTTCTATCCATCCCCTCTTCTAACCCCTTAAAGCCATCCTCCGTATTGAAGTCAGAGGTAAGTATAGACCTGATATCTAACTTTCTACTTAAAGCCTTTCAATAGCCCCTTATCAACTATGGAAGTAAGACCAAACTCTCTAGCCTCACCTCCACCCCTTCCTGCCTTACCCTTTAAGCTGTTTCTTGTCTTTGTTTCTTCATCTTTTTGCATCTACCAGGAATATCCTTTGCATTTTTCTTCCTCTAGCTAACTCTTGAAAATCACTCAGGTTTCTACTCAAGCATCAACTTTTCCAGTAAGCCTTTCCAAAATCCCCAGGCTGCCACAGCATCCTTTGCATATCTCTCTCTTATCATTCAACATACCAGTCAGACTGTGTATGTGCTTCCCATCAGATTCTAAGGCGCTCAAGAGCAGGACCTGTGTCTCATCTATCTTTTTAAACCTGGCACAATGCCCAGCACCCAATGGACAAGCAATAAATATTGGTTGTTGAACTGAATTAAGGAAGACAATCATGGGTCCTTTATTAATTCAGTGGTCAAAATTTTTTTTTACAAATAAGTGAAAGGTAACTTTAAAGTTGGCAGTATAGAACCATTATCAATTTCTTACTAAGTTTAAATTGATACGGGGTTTAACATCTACCTTTGTACCTATCCCATTATGTACTCCGTCATATAGTATTATTTTATAAACTCAGCAATAAACCTGAATAGAGATCTACTTAGTACAGAAGTCCTTCTATCACATTACACTGAGTTCAACGTAAGCTACATTCAGCTTAATACCAAAATCCACCGAAGTAAGTTTTAGAATTGAAGGCAATTTAATTTGCAAAAATCACATGAAATTTCTTTTCATCCAACCTACCCGAAAATTATCTGGGGAGCTCAAATGAAGTTTTCCCCTAATATCTTCAGAAGCACCAGCACACAACCTATAAAAGATATGATAATTCCTTTCCTCTTTGCCTTGAACACAGATCCTAGATTTCTCTAGAAGATAATGTGAAACAAATCCTCCAACAACTGAACTCTAAAAAACAAAACAGAGAGAAAAAAAATTTTTTTTTTTTTTTTTTTTGCAATTAACGTATAATTTACCAGTATGTTACATTATTTATCTTTTCTAATAAACATCTGTCTATCAAAGAGGTTGTAATATTTATCAAATAAAGGGAAAAAAACAGATAACTAATTGTAAGCTAGAATATACACAGAGGTTACAGTGAACATATATATTCTCCCAAATATCTAAAGTGACACAGAGAAATTTAAATGGATTTACCATGAGTTCAAGTACAGCACCAATTCTATCAAGACTCCTGTGTTTTTCAGAAACACTCCCCAACCATATCATCCCAAAACTCACTCTCATTTACCTTCTCATTGAAATGTATTTCTACAAATTTTCCAAATCGACTGCTATTATTGTTGCGAACAGTCTTTGCATTTCCAAAGGCTTCTAAGAGTGGGTTAGCTATTGAAAAAGAAATGAAAATATTCCATCAAAAAATTAGCATGAAGGAAAATCACAAAATAGTATGCATAGTATGTTTCCATTTATTAATAAATACACATGCTAGAAAAAATCTTCAAAAATATAACAGGAAGAAATTCACATATAATGTCAAATCCCACAAATATTTATTGACTACCACTATGTTCAGGCCCTATTAAAATGCAGGAGATGGAAAAATTACTCAAAATATATAAAAAGAAAATGTAAATGTTATGGGACAGGCTAAATTTTAAAAAGCCACTAGGTTATAAAATTGATAACTCAAGTTTAAAAATTACTCCCTAAGAAATTTAAGGTTTTCACAAGTACGTCAGCCCTAGAAGAATAGTGATTATAATACATAAAACAGCAAATCTCTTGTGACAAAATACAGGCAAGAAAGTTATTAGTTGACTTACGTTTCTAAAATATTTTATATAGTAACATAACCTCCAGATTTAACATTTTCACATGCGCATTCAACAACATCTAACAAATTAAGAGCTTATAGAAGTACCTAAGAAAGGTTCTCAGAATAAGAGTTTTTAAAATCCCAATGAACAAATGTAAAATTTTCATTGTTGTTATTTTATAACCACACACACACACACACACACACACACACACACACACATCACATGACTGGAAAGGGGTTACTAGGGTCTATTCTTGTACTCGCTAGAGTCTCAACTATAAACAGCAGATTAGTGTCATTCTTACTCACATCTTCTCCATCAACACCCTTATAAATTGCTTCACAATGTTTACTGCTAGAATATTTCTTATGAAGTCTTTTAAAGTCCATTTCTCTTATTCTATCCACAGAAGAAAACGTAACTAGTCCCCAAACCCTTTAAAGATCACTCCCCAGTAGTTTCACTTTCCAAAATAAGAAAGTTTTAAAACTAAAAGAAATGTCAGCATTTATATGTCGTCTTCAGATGGGCAAGAAAACTGAGGCCGTGATACAGGAAAAGGACCCAATTCTCATCTTCAAGTTGTGCACTGATTGTAAATGCAAAGATTCTCTTTGGAAGGATCCACAAGAACCTAGCTGTAGTTGCCTCTAAGCAGGGACATTTGGGGCTTGGGGCAAGGTGGCAGAGAGACTTATTTTTTAGTGTAAATTTACGCTTTTGTATTTGGGGGGGGAACAATTTTTATGTTGTGCATGTATTACTTTAAAAATAAAAACACTATTCTTGAAATAAGAATAAGTACTAACAAAAAAAAAAAAAAAGAAAGAAAGAAAGAAAACTGAGGCCCAACAAGTTCAACTGACCTGTGGATCACTGATGATCTATTAGTTTTTGCTGAAGAATTCAATATATTAAATAAAATATCACAAAATAGAATAAGAGCCTCTGTATCAGAAAATTATATAAATGCTATTAACGATAAACTCATTCCAAAACCAACAACCAATCTTCGATCATGGATGGCATCAAAAGATTTCTACATTCTGCCCGTTAACATCTACTGTTCTCCAGTAAGGGGATCGAGAAAGATCTGGATAATACTTTCCAACTTTCCTCGACTATAACATACTATATATGCATAGCACATTCTTATGGAAGAAACTGGGCTTATATCCAGTTCTCAAGTGAGTGTGCACCTCAAGTAAACAAATTAGAATACTAATCAGTCTTTTATTGAATTAACTATCTATTCATTCAATTTTATAGAGTGATTCCCTCACTAAAGTAAGGTACTGTACTGTGAATAAAGCATTACTTATGAGATCTTTACACCTGAGTGTGTCGTAATATCACAGTGAGAACTGTAAGTAAAATGAGAAAATTTTACCTCAAGAAACATAAAAAACTTTATTGATGCACAACTTTAAAAATGTTTATTAGAGCTGTATTTAGATTCATCTACATGCACATTTTACGTAATTGTGAAAAAAGTACCTAACATTTGCTAGCTACGATCTAGCAAAATGCATAAACATAGAAGGCCCCTAATAAATTTTTGTTCAATTTCTTTAAAATGTCAAGAGTGTTAAAATACGTACTTAATATAGCATACAGTTAAGATGCCTAGGTTTACATGCCACTTCCACAACTGATGGAACCGATACACTCTTCGGCAAGTTATTTAAACTCTTTTTATCTCAGTATCTGTAATATAGTACCTACCTCATTTAGGCGGATTTAGTGAGGATTTAAATTAGTAACAGATTTTAAGCAAATCAGACAAAGCAAAATACACCCCACATATGTTGATATTACCATTATTATTAAAACACTTACTGAGTGCCTAGTAGGGGAAAGTGAGGAAGGGGGATAGAGAAAGAGTGTCCAGAGAGGCCTAAAATACCTCAAAGAACTACAAGGAGACCAACACGACTAACGCATAAGGAGACAGAGGAAACATGACTCAAGATCAGACCCGAGCAGGCAGAGGCCAGACCACACAGAGCACTGGAGGTGATGTTACATTACAGATCTGAGGCTTTATCTGAGAGCAATATGAGACTGTTAAAGGGTTTAAAGCAAAAGAGATCGTTCCAACTCCCACATAGAGAATGGATTAAAGGGAAGTAAGCATATAAGTGGGAAGAACAGAGAGGAATCTATGGTGCAGGCGGATGGTGCAGATTTAACATGATGGTAGCCTTGACCAATCGTCTCCAAACCGGGTACAAGATGACTATCTAAGGGTATGCAAGCATTGACAGCTTAAGGAAATCAACTTATGGACTCTGGCTTTCCAAGTGTACTCTCTCGTTTGTGATTTCCCCAAAAAAGCACCTCAATTCCAATAATACCCTCCCTCCCTCCTTTACAAAAAACAAGGTCAACAAAACAAACAGGAGGCCAGAGAGCTTCCTATATTTCTGTCATTCATCCAACAGATATTTATGGAGCATATGCTATTTATCAGGCACTATTCCAGGGGTTTGGAACATATAAAAATCTCTGCCCTCTTAGCACTTACATGGGGTAGGGGGAAGACAACAGACATTAAGTAAGTGAGAAGACGGTAGCCAAGCAAAGATTTGTAGGAGATGGGAAGAGTCTTTGAGAATTCTGGAAGAGTTGTCCAGACCACTGAGAGAATTCTTGCAAATTAATTTCAATACATACTTAACAATATACAAAATAAGAATTTTAAAAATTAACAATACCTTCAACAATTCTATCATCAATATCTTGACCTGTTCCATAGGATTCAGTCAGATACCTGTTTAAAATATTGGAAAAAAAATATTTAGATGACAATACTACATATATTGATAATTTTAATATTATTTAATACATGTAAAACTTAAACCTGGATCATCATTATAACTGTTTATTAAAAAATTACAAATTTATGTTTAAATGTAACTATTCTGTTGTAGCTTTTTAAACATTTAAAATTCTATTTAGATTGCCTTTAACATCTAAATCAGTATTATTTTTTGTGTGTGTGTGAGAAGGATCAGCCCTTAGCTAACATCCGATGCCAATCCTCTTCTTTTTGCCGAGGAAAATTGGCCCTGGGCTAACATCTGTGCCGATCTTCCTCTACTTTATATGGGACACCGCCACAGCATGGCTTGACAAGCAGTGCATCAGTCCTCGCCCAGGATCCAAACCTGCGAACCCGGGGCCGCTGAAGCGGAGCACACAATCTTAACCGTTACGCCACTGGGCCGGCCCCTAAATCAGCATTATTTTTTAAAATTGTTTTCAGGAATAATCTGACTGTAACCAATTATTTGGTTTTAAATATGCCACACATTTCACACAGGAATATTCATATTCTACATGAGATTCCAAAGTCTTCTGCAATACCTATTAATTCAATCTTTATGGCTAAAGAAAATAAGGTAATCTGCCAATGAACAACTAGGAAGTTCCCGCTCTTCAAGTTGCTACGGTGAAAGATAAAACATGATGCAACAACTATTTGCCTAGCACATTTCAAAACAAAGAGTTATCTTTAATTTATAAGTTTACAGTTTCTTTATTATTTGTTCATTTTCAAAGGTGTATATTAACCATAGACTCATCATATGACTATTACATACAGGAGAGAAAGAATAAGAAATTGAACCACTTAGAATTCCAAGAGTATTGGGAAGTACTCATTTAAGCAGAATTGCATATATATATATAATAGCCAATAACAAACTCCTAAATTGGTTTTATACAAATAACTCTAAATAGCATATACATTTGCATAACAAGAGCAAAATTTCAAAATGGGACCCACCACGCAGCAACCAACTAAGAACGACAATACAGTGGGAACAATACTGGTGAGAATTCAGAATGTGTTGGTCCTAGCAGTAGCTACACGACTAGATTTAACATCACTGGCTATGTAAATTGAAAGAACTAACTACAATGAGTACTACGGTTGCTTCCATATTTAAACGCTCCTTCCATATTCTAAACAAAGTGTACAGTTTAATCTGATGGCAGCAAAGGGGATACATTAGGAGGAAGGCTGTGGAGAGGCAGAAATAAAGCCAACTGTCATAAGCTTAAGATAAAAAATGGCTTTAATAGCAGGAATTTTGAGACCAGAATGTAAAGGCTAGATTTTGGAGGAACACTCCTAGATATCCCTTTGCCTAATCAGCACTGGTCTCCTCCAGGATCCTCATGAGAATAACGTGTCAGAGCTGGCTTCCAACAATCTACAGCTTAGCTTCCACAGAAGGCTCTGTTTTTTAAAAGGGATAGAGTTCACAATTTCAAACTAGGTCATAAAGCATGCAAAAGTATTCTAAGTCCACGTATTCAAATCTCAAAGAGATATTTGCATCTCTTCGTTCACAGCAGCACTATTCACAATAGCCTAGAGGTGGAAGCAACCCAAGTGCCCAATGACAAATGAATAGGTAAACAAAATATGGTGAACAGATACAACGGAATATTATTCATCCTTAGAAAGGAAGGCTAACACAAGCTACAACACAGAAGAAACTTGAGGACATTATACTAAGTGAAATAAGTCAGTAACAGGAAGACAAATACTGTATGATTCACTTATATGAAATATTTAGTCGTCAAAACCATAGAAGCAGAAAGCAGAATGGGGGTTACCAGGGGCTGGGGTAGGGGAGTTGTTTAATGAGTGTGGAGTTTCAGTTTTACAAAATGAAAAGTTCTGCAGATTGGTTGAACAACAATGTGAATATACTTAACGTTACTGAAAAGTACACTTAGAAATGGTTAAGATGGCTAATTTTATGTTATACATTTTTTACTACCAAAAAAAAAAAAAAAACAACCTGTTCAAAACAGTCCGGGTTAGCTAAATACTCCTCACCTTAGAACAAATTTTGTATTTTCCGTTTTGCCAGCTCCTGACTCTCCAGATACAATGATAGACTGACTCATCTTGAGCACCTTCATGTCTCGAAAAGCCTTATCAGCTAGGGTCAAAATAACACATTGACAATGAACAATGTATTAAATACAAATTCATTAAATGTCCAAAGTTCATTTACTACCAAAGAGCACTTGCTCCTAAAGAAATTATAAATGTTTGTTAATAGTTAGCAAAATTTAAAAGTAAAATCATTCAAAAGTGTTCAAAACATCTCTAAAAGTATTTACTTTAAATGTTCTATAATCCTGACAGCTAAGTAATATGAAATCCAAATAAACAATTCTTATGTTTGTACTGGAATGTCTCCGTGTTATGAGCTGTGGCTCAGCTCTTCCTAATAACACCAGAGCAGATCTGCAGAGGTACAAAAAATGCTCACTATGTATAACTAATGAAGTCCCCAAAGAAAAGCAATAAGTAATGAGCTACCAATTAAGAAATCTGGCAACCAAAAATTCTGCTGGAAAAAAAAAATACATAACTGCAAAATAAATCTGTGTATTTTTTCCTGCAGTACTACTATTAAATTTAAACATCTTGTAGAATTTATCAGCATTTCAAAGATAGAATCAACTGCTTTAAATTTTTTAGATTTGTGATTGTTTACATATATGATTTTTAACTATCTTCATTATACTCCAACAATTTAGGCTACAAAGTGTCTTAAACTTTAAGACTACACAGACAAGCTGAACACAATTTAATGCTGTTAAAGAGGTGTCGAATTAAAACAATTTTAATTCAAAATTAGGTTCTGACCAATTTGGCCCTATACGACAAAAATATTTCTCACCTCAGACATGTACCACCATACCAATGGAAAAGGCTTTACAAACGGCTTTTACTCTAAGAACCAAATGCAAACCACATGTAATAGTACACCCATCCACTTGACCAATTTATCAGCAACCTGTTCCACCTACTTTTGTGGAACCATTGTAAACACTTTTTTGGCGGTAAACAACGAAAAATAAAAGCCAATTTACATAAACAAATATTAATTTATTTAAAGGTAACTTCTCCCTAGTGGAGAGCTTGCTCACATTCAGGTTCTAAGCATTCTGCAACATTTTGCCAGCTGATAGAAAATACACCAAGGCCCATCAGAGCATCTTAAACCAAAAGTCAGGGGCCAGCCTGGTGGCATAGTAGTTAAGTTCACGCATTCCACTTCGGCGGCCCAGGGTTCATCGGTTCAGGTCCTAGGCACAGACCTACTCATTGCTCATCAAGCCATGTGGGTGGCGTCCCACATAGAAAAGCTACAACTCTACAACTATGACACACAACTATGTACTGGGGCTTTGAGGAGAAGAAAGAAAAAGAGGCAGATTGGCAACAGATGTTAGCATAGGGCCAATCTTCCTCAAAAAAAAAAAAAAAACCCAAAAGTCAGTCTGCTGTTGCATTGGACTTGGCTGACATATTTACTCTGCCTAGTAGTACACAGTATACAAGTCAGCCAAATCCAGAAGGGAAGCCTGGTCAGGCCAAAACATAGGCATGAAGAGAAAGCCCAAAGAGAAACAGACTGCACCTAAGAACCAGCAGCAAAACATGTCATCATTTAACTGCTGGTTATGTCTGGAACCAATGAGTTAGCTAACATCTCTGTACTTGCAGTCACCAAGGATGTGTGCCAAAGAACTCCATCTCTCTGTTCCTCAGAGCTAGACTGCTTCAAGATGAGAGACAGTCTGAGAAAGGCAAAGACAGATACTGTTGTCTGCCCACACAGATTCCCCAGAGATGTGAAGTATACACCATTTTCAATCCTTTAAATTTTATAAAGCCCTGATGCAAAATAAGGCACAGAAGAAGTCTGCTCTTACAGCTCATCTCTAGCCCAAGTAACACACTCCCAAGTGATGACTTGGTTCTAGCGCAAGGCCTGGGCCTCAAAGCTATGAAGGAGGACACTTTTAAGATGGAGTTGATTTGTGTTGAGGAGTTAAAAAGAATCATTAAGTTGGCTTTTATTATGTCCTATATTCAACTGGGTAGACACACTTAAAAGGACACAGGCATTTAACAAAGATAATGATGTACAACTGCCCTCTGAGTTGGCTGCAAAAGTATTCTTCCCCATCCTGTGTAAGATACACGCTCCTAACAATGGTGACACGTTCAAAATGCATTCAAACGTACCAAAATATATATTCAATTCCTGGTATCTTTTATTAATCCAAAAGAAAACTGACTAAATTTGTACAATATAAGGAAAACAAAAATTAAGATACAATTAAATTACTTACCAATTGCAAAGACATGAGGTGGCATCGTCCCAAGAGATTTTCCTTGATACGACTTGATTGTTTCTGAAGAATATATTTTAGGTATGTCAAAGTATGGGTTCACTGCAATCAGAATGTTGGCGACATATGTCTAAATAGGAAAAGCATAAACATAAAATTTTCCAATTACTGTTTTCATTTAAAACAAGGCTCATAGGAGAAATAAAATATAGCAAATAGATACCTTTGATTCTCTATATAACTAGCACTCCTAAATCTGCATTTCTGCCCGAAACATTCCCTGCTCTACAGGACCCACATTTTTCCAGCCCTTAATAAATATTTACATCTTCTCATCCCATAGGCATCTCAAACTCACCATGTTCAAAGTCAAGATTATCTCTCTTGACCACCCACTGCCTCAAAGGAAATATTCTCCTCCCATATGCTCTCCCATGTTCATGGCATCACCACCAAATCATTGCAGAGAGCTGAGTCTCTAAGCCTCTATCTCAATCGGCTGGCTCTCTGTGGACTCTACTTAAGCAATCTACTCTCCTAGTTCTATTCCTACCACCCAAGTTTTGGTTATTTTTATTCCTCGCCTAGACTACTTTATTCACCCTGCTACCGAAGAGTTGAACAAAGCGCCTAATATCCTTCAAGCCTATCCCCATCATTGAATGCCAAGGATTAATTTAGCTCTGTAATGACCACTTGGTCCCAGATTTTGCAAATAAAATATGCTAACCATTGCCAAGAATATTGACAGGTTAAATGTTCAACGAGCAACTGAAGCTTGCTTTTAAATTTGGAATTTAACTGTGGCTTTCAAAGATCAGGAAAATGCACCAACAGGATTTACAAAATTCCTTGTGGGCAGAAAGAGAGTTGTGGTTTAGCAATTAGTTGTGGTTTACTGGCCAAACTAGGGCATGCAGGACCATATTTTTCTCTTTTCTGCTTCTAGTTGTGGAAGGGAAATGATGTGGAAACCCTAAACTCTCAGACTACTAATCTAAAATTCAGGGAAAGCTCCCAAAAATGTTTCCTGGAGTGGGGTAAAAAATAAGAATTTCCAGATAACAATCTTTCTATGGGAGACAAAAAAAAAGTAACAGATTTTAGTAACCAAAGAATGCTAAATGTGAGTTAGCTATTGTTCTACTCAAATCTAAGGGAGAACAGATAGTTCTGGTAGGTGAGAAATATAAAAATATCAAATTTAAACTCTTATTCCAAATTGCTTCCCTCTCTTACATATATTATAATAATAATGACACCATTTACGTATTGCTGATTTTTAATGGTTTTATAAGTAAAAGGCATAATTGGCTAGGAAAAAACATACCAATCATGGCTTCAGTTAACTTTGAAAATACTGGTTCTCCAAACAGGAGCTGACGATGCCAAACAGCCACTATCTAACAGAGGTCATTTGCCCAACTGCATACATACCTTAGGAAAAGAAGGATCAAAAAAGCTAGGAATAACCCTAAGCACTCAATTTTCCAGAGTGATGTACACAGTATACATGGGAAACAAAAGCTTAAATTTCACTTTTTTCTATCAATCATGCAATTTAGCAAAGACTTAAAGGTCAACCAAACTCAATGTGAAAAACAAAGACAACTAATTTTTTTGAAAGTACAATGAACACTGCTTGTAAACTTGCCGTTATTAATAGCCAGTTGTCAAGTGTAGCTGTCAAGTGTAGCACCACTGTAACATAGCAAGTATTAAAAGACCATGACAATCCCATGGGTGTCAAGCTTTTGTATAAACATCCCAAATAAAAACAAAGTACCTCAATTTTTTAAAAGTATGATTACTCCGAAAATTTTTCATTACTTGACAAACTTCAAGAAAAAGATATTAGGGGCTGGCCCCGTGGCTTAGCGGTTAAGTGCGCGCGCTCCACTACTGGCGGCCCAGGTTCGGATCCTGGGCGTGCACCGACGCACTGCTTCTCCAGCCGTGCTGAGGCCGCGTCCCACATACAGCAACTAGAAGGATATGCACCTATGAAATACAACTATCTACTGGGGCTTTGGGGAAAAAGAGGAGGAGGAGGATTGGCAATAGATGTTAGCTCAGAGCCGGTCTTCCTCAGCAAAAAAAAGGAGGATTAGCATGGATGTTAGCTCAGGGCTGATCTTCCTCACAAAAACAAAAGATATTAAATTTGATCAATTAAATAAGATTGTTCCACCACTACCAAGAGATACAAGACACATAAAGAAAAAATAGTGGCCAGTTCTACTTGAAAGATGATGTTTCCTGGTTATATCCAAATCAACTTTTATTGACTTATTACAAGTTAAACTGCTTTAACAAACCAATTTTTAAAATTTGTATTATTTCAGTACCTAAAACAGCATTTAGCACATATCAAATGCTCAATCCTGCTGACTGAGAGAATTTTGCTTCTAAATATATTTCTAATCAAGAAGAGCACTATTTCAACCTAAATATACTCTTTATTTAGTTGATTTTGAAAAAAATCAAGGAGGAAAGTAAGACTTAATACTGTATAGAACCAAAAGATGGCAAGTGACCTCTTTTGGAAAAGACCAGTTCTATTTCCCAGCTGTCACTACTTAGACAGATGGCAAAGACTAAAGGTAATTTAGTCAGAATCCAGTAAGTACAATTAGGCAAACTGATAGTGATATAAAAGATTAAGACTGTCATCTGATCTAGGAAGTGTCAAAGAAGCCATGTGTTTTCTTCGTTCAAAAATAATGAACAGTCCCATCTTTATTACAGGAGAACTACAGTAGGGTAATTTATCTCCAGCCAACAAGGAATCTACAAGTAGGTCATATTAGAATAAAACCTCGTACGTGCATGTCCATCTGAATGATTTGGTGCAAACCCTATTTACATTAAAAGCATTGTCTTTCATTCTTTAATATTCTGGCTTTTAAGGCAGGTATCAGTCTAGGGCTTAATGCAGTACTGCAGCTCTTTACGCGTGACGGTCAGCGTTTCGGTGCTCTTGATACTTCCTCAGATACTGTCCTCTATCCTAATTCAACTTTTTTCTCATCCAAGTTCTTAATTTCAATATATATTCCTTATAGGCTGCCTTAAACTCTTTGCAGAACAATGTGGAAAGTGAATTAATTAAACAGATCTGCAGACATATAGCAAAAATAAGAAATCAAAACCCAAAACAGTGTTTTTTTTAAATAGTCAAATTGGACATTTTTAAGTCTGAAAAATATCAGACGATGCTCTGAATTCATTGTTTCATTCCACAAATATTTATTAAGTGCCTACTATACACCATGTATGTTCTAAGCCCTGGAGTTAGAGCTGAAAATTAGAAAAAAGTTCTTTTTTTTGTGAGGAAGATCAGGCCTGAGCTAACATCCATGCCAATCCTCCTCTTTTTGCTGAGGAAGACCGGCCCTGAGCTAACATTTATTGCCAATCCTCCTCCTTTTTTTTTTTCCCCTTTATCTCCCCAAAGCCCCAGCAGATAGTTGTACGTCATAGTTGCACATCCTTCTAGTTGCTGTATGTGGGATGCCGCCCCAGCATGGCCCGACAAGCACTGCATCGGTGCGCGCCCGGGACCCGAACCCAGGCCGCCAGTAGTGGAGCACGCACACCCAACCACTAAGCCACGAGGCCAGCCCCAAGAAAACAACTCTTATCCTCATGGAGCTCACACTCTATTCAATAGGCTCAGATCAAGTATGATTTCCTGGTAGAAAATTTCAAGCTCGACCAAATCCAACAGCAGCATGTAAAATAATTATCCCTACAAAAACGTAAACCATAGGTAAAATACTTACATAAATTCTGTCTTTACTGTATCGAACTTTGATATTATGGAGGAGCGTGGCTTCATTTAAATACATTAGTGAACCTGAGACATAAAATTTATAAGTCATTAGATATTTGAAGTAAAAAAGTAAAGTAAAACAATATTGTCTTAATCGGAATCACTTTGATCCAAACTAAAACTCACCACTTAGGTTAGATTTATTTATATGTAAACCCCAAAGGCCCATTTAAAATATATCTAGTTAACATATGTGTTACAGTGATATTTTTAAACAATGAATTTCCAACCAGGTGAGTACCAGGTGAGCACATTCTGATGAAGGTTGGTTAACAAGTCAAGTACAATTCAAACAGAAAGAAAGTACTACTTTTTTGTGTGTGTGTGTGTGAGGAAGATCAGCCCTGAGCTAACATCCATGCTAATCCTCCTCTTTTTGCTGAGGAAGACCGGCCCTGAACTAACATCTATTGCCAATCCTCCTCCTTTTTTCCCCCCAAAGCCCCAGTAGATAGTTGTATGTCACACTTGCACATCCTTCTAGTTGCTGTATGTGGGACACGGCCTCAGCATGGCCGGAGAAGCGGTGCGTCGGTGCACGCCCGAGATCCGAACCTGGGCCGCCAGCAGTGGAGCGCGCGCACTTAACCGCTAAGCCACGGGGACGGCCCAGAAAGTACTACTTTAGATAGTGCTGATCTTAACACACTTTTGACACAACAAAGTGATGACACTAATCTAGTCTCTCAGAATTTTATAAAAAAAAAACTAAAGATAAAATTTTAGAATGGGAAAGGACCATGAGATCATTCAGTCAGTGCCTCACAACTGATACGATTCAAGAAGAAGAAATTATATCTGTCTTAACCCAGGACATGCAGCTGAGTGATGGCAGGATCAGGGTAGACATCCTGTCTCTCCAACGTCTGCTCTAATATGTCAGAGTATACATCACACTCTGACATACTCTATTGTCCCAGCCCCCAGTCTCCTGAGCTCCATTTCCACACTTCCACCAAACGCTAGAGTAGACAAAACTACTCCTCTTCCCAACCACTTTGTTCCTGTCATTAGCACCACCATTTTTTCAGTCCTCCAGACTGCAAACCTTAGTGGATACTAGGACCATCTTCTCTCTTTCTCCTTGCTCTAAACCAGTTTCCAAGTCTTTATACCATGTAATAAAGTATAGCACAGTACCAGACTCATCGCACGCACTAAAAAATTACCATAATCTGAATCTCTGAAATGTCTCTCTTTTCTTCCCATCTCTACTACCCCATCCCAATTTAGGTCTCATTACTTCTTTTGTAATCATAGTCATTGTCTATCACCCTCAATCTCTCTCTTCTCTAATCCAGACTGCTCAGCACATTAAAATTTAGCTAAAATAGAGCCCTAAAGAAATCTCTCTCCTCCTCAAAAAATATTAGAGGGTCTCCATCAACTACTAAAGTCCATATTCAAGTCTGATATTCAAGGCCCTTATTAAACCTGCATTCAGCTGGCTACTTCATATAATTTTTCACAACTCCCTTTAATATGATCTAAACTTTCAGGCAGACTGAACTATTTGTTAAATCCAAATATCATTCATGCATTAGCAACCCCCTCTACAACTCTAGTGTCAAAAAGCTACCCATCCTTTAAGGTCAGCTCAAAGATGATCTCACAGGTGCTACTTCCTCATTCTCACCACCACCACCACCACCACTAGAACTTTCTTCTTTGTACGTTCTTTATGGAGCTTACCATAGACAACCAGTATTGTGATTAGAATTTTGTATATTTGGTTTTGGCTACTAAACCAGATCCTTGAGGGCAGGACCCTGCTTGATTCATTTGCTTGATCTCTTATTGAAGTTGTGAATGTACACACCTACACCGTATGTATGTCTAACATACAATTTGACATCTAACCAATTCTGTCAGACAAAAGCCTCTGGCTATACTGATCTCAACAAAGACTGCCATGCTTCTACACTCATATAATGCAGCCACTTCACATTCCAAGGACACACGCCTCACTGGTTTTCAATGTCACTTACAGCAGAATAAAACAGAGTAAGAAGTAGGTAGAGCATCCTAAAAGTTGAATGGCAGCTATCCTTTGAATTGAGGAAAGATTTGGAGAGGGTAGGAAGCAGAGGGATATCTAGTTTGGGTTTGGGGTCGCCATCTTTCTATATCCCTGGCTCTTCTTCCACCCTCATCCACCAGGAACCTGGTCTACATGCTGCCTTTTCTTATCCAAAGCACAATGATAACCACTCCCTCATCTCTCCCCTTCCTCTGAACTAGCTGGTTGCATGATCTTCTCTCCGCTTCCCTTAAGTAAGATTCCTAATCCCACAATACAGTTCCCCTGGAAAAGTTAATCATATAAACCTATACTGACGTGTGAATGACTGCTTGCTCTCATTTCTTTACCTCCTTCCACACTTACCACCTACCTTCTCAGCGATATCTGTTAACTAAACCAAATAAATCCCTAACTGGTGAAATATCTGCCAGTGACAATAAAAATATGGACAATATGGACAGGAGGGTCTTCCTCCTCAATCATGCTACTCAGGCTATCCTATTTTCATGAAGACATGGAAAGGGAAAGACAGAGGAAAATATTCACAATTCTCAGTATGCCAGAATGGGAAACGGTACGTCCCAATTGCTTACGCATCCCTAAAGGTACGACCTAGGGATGTTCACAACGGTCTCAGAAATAACTTCTTGCTCCACCTAATTCCCTCCTGCTCCCCTCTCCTAGCAGCCAGCTCTAAGACTACTTGGTTTGACTACTTACAATGCAGGCCTTCATGTAAACTGTTTGCCTTTTATGCCTAATTATTCATAGATTTAACTATACTCAATATTAAAATGTTAAAAACAAGATATAGAATAAAAGAATAAACACATTTGTTTCTTTATAAACTACCTAAGCAGCATTTTGGTGTAATAAATATATACCAAACATACTAAAATTTTCTAATGAAGACTGGGTATGACTTAATTATTAAATTTAGGGATCTGACTTGGGAGTTATCTGAGCATTTAAGATCTTGCTTATTCATTACAGTTCTAATTCACCAAAAGAAAAACAGGAACCCAGAAACAACTTCAACACAGTAGAAGAAGTCAGTCAATTCTACAATTATATTGTTGGAGAGGTCCCATTACTGAAAAAGAGACAGAAGCAGGCAACTTTGGGGATTCTTTCCAGTATTGTAGTCTATACTATTCTCGACTTCTAACGGTGATAATTCATGCAGAATATTATACGCTGTGTAAGTAACAGTAGCTTAAAATCAGCACGAAACAATGCTGGTATTTTAACTACTGACTTCATATCCTTGAATTTTTTTCCTATTCTGGTATTAATACCCAAGAGCCAAGTAAAAAGGCAAAATTAATATACTAATATCCACACATAAAACCATTCACAGAGAAAACCTACAGCTACAAATAGGTTTGCTATATTTTTTAGGGCACCATCAAAAGACAACTCATGTCTCTGTTTCAACAGAACCTTTATCACGGAGTTCAGAATGTTCTAGAGACATCAGGCTTTCAACCATCACATTATTACCACGAAATAGAGAAGAGGAAGGGATTTTCAAAATATGCACGCGAGTCCCTAAGAAACAATGCCTATGTGTCATCTGGCAGATCACAGTGGTACGGTGGGAAGCCTCATGCAAAAGAACTAATAAGTGATGGAACCGGTTTAGCTGGAAAACCTACATTCTAAATTCAACAACCAAAGCTGTGTTAATGATGTAGTTTCAGAAAAGAGACTTCAAGTAGGCTGCGCTACTGTATGATGAGGATGGTTAACATCCCCAGGTTAACATTTCTGCTGTCTGGCATCACCAAAGAAGACACCTGCAAGAGGCGGCAAATCCACACGAAGCCTAGGAAAACTGAAAGGTCGGACAAGTATATCAAGATGAAACAACCAGAGGGATAACATTTTAAAATATTAATTTAAGAAATGGATTAAAAATAATTTAAAATAATTTATTTTGTTTAGCTACATGTAGATATACAAACCATAAAACGTTATTTTAGTATATGGAAAGGATTAATTCCTAGTTCTGAATACCCTAGCAAGTTTTCACAGAAAACATTTCTCTCTCTTATTTTGGATATGGTAGAATTTCATTCCTTTGGTTTTTTTTTTAATTCTGTTCTGATTACCGTTCAGAAAAATATTATCCCATCAGACAAATTCTCCAGCAATTTTGGAAAGGAATTTCTCAATCTCTATATCTCTCTACACCTACTAATAACAGCTACCATTTATTGAAAGAGAGTTAGAGGTCAGGCACTACGGCAAGCATTTTGAATATATCATCTCTAAGCATGTTAACACACACATTACTCCCACTTTACAGATTAGAAGCCCAAAGAGGAGACACAAACTGCCCACAGGCACACAGCTTCCTAACAGCACAGTCAGAATCTGAACTCAGGCTCTCCCTGAGCCCACAGCTCTCCCATTACTCCACTATTCCACGCTGCCCCCATTTACCTACGGGGATCTTACAGGCTGACTCAAATATAAACTCCAGAGAAAATCAACAAGGACAAATATATTCCTTTCTCTTACCTTTTTTCTTTAAATGGAGAGTTTTTAACGTCATGAAACCCATGACAAATGGACATGATTCTTAAATATTGCCAAATAAAAAAGGAAATACGATTACCACTTAATCTTGAAAATGTCAGAATAAACATGGCCTATTCACTGGATAAAGTCTTTTTTCACCATACATGCTAAGATAGCATTAATTAATATTCCACTGTAATATAATGTCCTGAAATCAATCTTTCAATTAGTACTTATTACAAAGTAGGTTTTTTATGTTTGTTTCCTTCAAACAGTGATATTAAATGGCTCCTCTTGACTCAACTTCCAAATTACTGAACCATATAATACTGCTGTCAAAATCACCTGATTCTAGATGAGACTCTTAAAGATAACTCTTTCAAAACTGTCAGCAGGAGATCTTTAGTTCAGGCTTCATAGTAAATTATTATCATTCCCCACATTTACACAGCTGAGAAAACATTAAGAGGACATTCAATGGACTCTTTCACCAAAGTGCAAATGTGAGATAATAATGAATTTAGGACTTTGAGCTCCTCCATTCACATGAACCTTCATGTCAAAAGGCTACACTTCTTCTGAACCAGTATAGTGTACCTAGTAATGTAACTGCTAATTTATTTTTTGGAGGAACAGTTTCCTTTTCTGCGCTGAGAACTGTTTTTTAACTTGATACTTACAGTTATCTTCCACATCTTTTTTATTGTCCTCTTCTGCAGGGAACACTTGGTTTATGAGAGCCAAAAATGTCTAACAAGCAAAACAAAAGCTCATTAAACTAGAGGCTTATTTATAAATAGTAAGAAAAATAAAGGAGCCTAATTGGTTGCACACATTGTAATAATGGCACAATATGCTCTTCATTAAAATATAATACAAGATCCCACTATTTAACGAGTCACTAACCCAAAAACAGGATAATAATTTTACTCAAATATATTATTCACTATCACCATGAACATGAAATCAATAATGGAAATCAATAAAAAAACATTATATGCTCTAACACCGAGAATGGGACAAAACAAGAAGTATATTAAACTTACATAGGTATGCTATTTAACAACTTATTAAAAAATAGAAATTTTAATGTTATACATACAGCGAAAGTAACATTCAATCAATCATATATACCAACAGAACAGACTATTATGTAATTAATGCTACTGTTTGAGTAAAACATATTAGACACAAATTCTTGTACAGAAATGTGTCAGAAATACAAACAGTACCCAAAGCCATTTGGTCCATAAAATAACAGGTATCATGACTAAGTTTGTATTTATTATATCACTTAAATGCTATGGTAGAAACTCTAGAATTAAGATAGTATCTTGTAAGAAAGAAATGATATCCAACTACATTTAAAGAGAATTAAATTTTATCCATGTCATTCTAACAGTTATCTATAAATTTATACTTCCCAAACAATTACAATTACTCTTGTGGTTAAAGTTTCCATCCATATTAAAAAATCTAAGGAAACACTGTTCAATTATTTTAAAATACTATTCGCAGGTCTGTATATGCATATATATGCAAGAGTATAAGACAAGGCTACTGCTATAATTCACAGAGTAAACTCCAGCCTGCTGGCACTACCTCAATTCAAAGTCACAGCCGACACAGAAAACTTATGCCCTAAAAACTCTGCAAGTTAATTATTTGGGACCTAGTACACATGTTCTTACAGTTACAAATGTGGAAAGGTTTAGAGGACAGATTACAAAATCGGAATGAATCCATGATGTACATTAAGTATATTAATGGTAATGTGAACCAATCCATAATCTATAATAGTGATTCTATAGGGAAATGCCTTCAGAGTAACTATGGACATCCTAGACGAGATGCCCACTTTCACAGCCGTGGCAAGAGGGGCAAGACTCCCCAGACCCCAGGGGCCGGGTCTATCTTGGTGAAAGCCATGTGACATCAGAGGCTCCAGGAGGTCAGAAAACAGGGAGAGGTGGAGGACAAACAGTTCCTAGAAAGGGAAGGTTAAGAGCTACGCTGAAAAGCCAGTAATGAGTCCTAAAAGATAGTTTCTCTCCCTCCTTCTTCATCCCCCAAATGATCACCAGCCCCCATCTTCTTCTCTGCCTTACCACCTGCTCAACGAGAAAGAGAAAATTTGTTTCATTAAGGCAACTGTCTTCTCCTAGAGGGAGGAGGCTTTTTCTCCTATCAAAAGATCACATCACAAAGCACACGTTGATCACCAGCAGTAAACATCTACCACACAGCAAACACAGCACATCAAGCTCCAGTGACAAAACAAACAAATAAAATAGTCCCTGCACTTGAGAAGATTACAGTCTAGTAGACAGGGGGAGAGAAACATAAACATCCCCAATAAAGCATTTCAGGAGACTTAAGTATTTATACCACCCTCGAAAGAAGGAGTAATCAACAGTAAATTCTATTGCCTGGGAGGAGGAGGGAGAGATTGGGTATCTGTGGAAAAACTTCATAAAGAAGGTGACCTCAATCAGAGTCTTGAGAGAGAAAGATTTGCTAAGCAAAGGGCTATGGAGAGTGGCATTCCAGGTAAAAGGAGTACTGTGAGCAACGAGGCAAAGCACCCAACACGACCTGACTCATGGTGTGGGCTTAATAAACACTGGAAGGGAAGGATGGGAGAAGGAGAAACAGACAAGAACAAGCATTGGCAAGAGTATGAGGGAAGACTGCCAGGTGATAAAAGATAAGTAAAGCAGATGGGGAAAAGAAAACGTAGACCCTTGTTTGCTATATTTAGGGCTTAAGCCTGAAGGCCAGTCTGCTGCAAATATGGAATGTGAAATCAATCTGGAGGTTCAAGACAGCATTTTTAGCAGAATAAAAGATATCAGAAAATATTCAAATGCATAGCATGTAGTAAGGATGTCTCATTTGACCAACTCTGTTTCATTTATGAATACACACACACACACATGCACAATACACATACCTAATGCAATGGAAAATCTATTTCTTACTATAGGTCACAATCTAAAAACTTTAAAAGCCCCTGCTATCATCAAAGGCATGTTCCTCACCAGAGCTAATCATTCCCTCTTCTGTGCTTCAACTGTATCAGCATACAGGTCTACTTGACCCACCCACCACCTTATGAACTTAACTCCTGAATATTTAAAAGCTGGGGATCTCCAGATCATGAATTATCTAGGCAAAAGACTGCTTCTCTTATGGATCTTTTTAATCATATGGTTATTATGACACTACAAATTTATTAAGACTCCGATGAGAAAAGTGGAGGAAAAACTAAAAAATAATCCTTGAGAATTTGTTAACTCTCAAAAAAAGATATTTGTGAAAAGACATTTTAACTTTAGTTTATAGAATTATCTACAGATCCATAAAATTTTCATGACTTCACAATTTAAATTTTAAGTCTTTTTATTGGTTCTATGTGTGTACCTGATTAATACTAACAAGGCACAGTTGAAAGCATACCAAAATATTTAAAATATTAAAAGTACACACCCATAAATCAAGTTTCTTCTGTGCTTGAAGTGAATTATTTTGTCATCTGTGGATATAACCAAATACACCTAGGAAATATATTTTTCATTTCATTTTGGCCTTTTGATTTACTGCACTTATAAGTTAAACAAAAATGAAAACAGACTTTGAAGGAGTTCAGAGCATGTCATCCCAAAATGTGCTCCTTTAGCACATTGATTATTTTGAGTTAAAGGCACTTGAGAAACAGCAGACACAAGAAGGGCACTCTGACCCTCCTTTTTATATCTGAAAGCAGGAGATGCAAGTCCCCTACGAAAGGTGCCCTCCCTGTGCCAGAGGAAGGAAGACACTCTTATCACCAGAGACGGGGAGTCGAGGCCGAGAAATCTGTACAGACGAACCTTGTTCAATGCACCCTTATCTTCCTACTCACTTCTCCACTGCCCCTAGCCCAAACCCCTTTGTTTTATCATTCTTCACAAATGAATTGTTTCTTTGTCTAAAAGATAGAAAGGCTTTCTGCTTTGGTCACTTCTTCGTGTCTTCATTCTCTTGTGAAGGTTCCCATGTACATGTAAAAATTTAGTAAAACTTGTATGCTTTTCTACTGTGAATCTGTCTTATGTCACAGTTTAATTCTCAGGTCCAGCCAGAGACCCAAAATGGTAGGGTACAATTTTTCCTCCTCTACAACTTCAAATATATAAAAATAATTGAGCTTATTTTTTTTAATTCTTTCATTTTTTAAAATGTACTGCATTTTAAGTATAAATAGGTACTTGTTAATAAGAGGAAAAACAAGAAACACTTTGCCTTTCCTTTCCTGAGGGTATCTTTAATTGGCCTCCTCTAACATGGCACATTATATATTATGCATTTGGGCTCCCGGGTTGTTTACAGTAACAGAATAGTTTTCTCTGTGAAAAGACCTCATGAGAGATCCACTTTGTTTTTCTAAGGTTCCCAGAAGGATGGCAGTCATATGGCATTAGTTAACCATGTATCAGTAGAATATAAATTATTCATGAACATTAGGAGAGCCTAAAGTAAACAGAAACAATACTAACAAATTTAATTTAGTCAGAAAACCTGTTTAACAGGAATATTTATTAAACTGAAAATTATGAAGCTCTTCCACAAAAACAGACCCTACAGTTCCCATGAAGACTGAAAGAGACTCCAGGTCACTTTTTCCCCAAACTCCCATTTTGTAATACTGTCTAGTCTATGTCTAAGCATAAAAAGAAACAGCATGTCTACAGAATTAAAGTATGCTTTTATGTTTTAAAAACTATCATTATAACAAAAATAATAATAGATGGGTATGTTTAAGACTTAAGTTACCTTTACTTAATAGAAATATATTTCCAATACATACTCTAATCCTATGCTAATACATTTAAGTAAATAAAAAGCTTAAAAAATTACCTAAAAGCTAAAGCGAAATTTGATAACATAAATGTTCTTACTTTGTAACATGCTGAGTACATCACAGGTATACTAGTAACTTTAGTAATATTCTATAAAGAATAAAAATGTTGTTATTGTTTACATTTTATCATATAGTTGTTCTTCTTAAGAATGTGATAATGAAAGGCTCACTAAATTTCTGTTTGATTTTATCACAGAACACCATTTTTTCCTAGGGTATGTACTTCTGATTTAACCAAATAATAACTCAGTAGAAAACGAAGATTCACTTACCAGAAAATTGCTTTCCCCTATACTGTGTTAGGAATATCTAGTTTATTAAGAAGGGAGACATCTATAGGAAAAAAAATCCAACTCTGAAATCTTTCGGAGCAACTCACCTTGCCTTTTTGGTTCAAGGGTTCAATTGTTAAGCTATCAGGGCCAATATCCACAATATTGCCCATCTGAAATCCATCTGTAGGGTGTGGAGCCCAAACGGGCTTTCCATCCTCCATTTTTGAAGGGAGTTATCCACTATCTCCTGTTCCAAAGGAACAAATAAAGCAACATGAATAACTTTGGAAATAAAAAAGAACATTTTTTTTAAAGTTAACATGTAAATCACAACTCATAGAAACACATCTACCCCCACTACAGGTAATCCCCACCCCCTCCCATCCTGCTGCACCCTGCCACCCTTTACCCACCTTTAGATAAGGACCAAACAGAAGCTGCCCCACCCTCAGGTAACACTTGCTCTGCCACTGCCACCCTTCAGTTGTGAACGCAGTCGAGACATTGTGAGCAGTACAGAAACAGAGAGAAACGGTCACAGTTCGTACCTGTTGTCCCAGAGTAATTTACGACAGCACTCCCTTTTACTACTTAAAGTATTTGGTTTGCACAGTAAATTAAACAGTCGTCCTAGAAATAGATGTTATTGTGTGGAGTTGGCTAAGAGTTGAACAGTAAGTCATTTTAGACCTCCAGGGATAAAGGTGAGAAATGTGAGCGATTACTTCCTCTGGGAAACTTTTTTCCCTGACAATCCCAGGCTACAGGGACACCTCACCATGTGCTCCCGATATACATTCTCACAGAAGCAAGCAGCATACTGTTTTTGTTGGGTTTTTTTTTTATTGAGGTAAAACACATATACAGTGAAATCCTAAGTACACAGTTGATGAGTTTCAACAAATAGATATACCCATTTAACAAACACCCCAATCAATATATAGAACATTTCCATCACCCAGCAAGTACCCTCGTGCCTCCTCTTGTCAATCCCTATCCCCCACAGGCATCCCCTGTTCTGGTTTTTATCATCATAGATTAGTTCCTGCCTGCAGTTTAACTTTACATAAATGAAATCACAGTATGTATGCTTTTGTGTCTGGCTTCTTTCAGTCAACAAAATGTTTCTGATAGTCAAGTTGTTGTGTATACTAGGCCCACTGAATGACTATACCACAATTGTTTACCTGTAGTCCTGCTGAGGGACATCTGGATTCTGTCTAGTTTTTGCCTACTGTGAATTCTAATCCAATTTTTCAAGTGTTCCTATAAAGCTTCTTTCACACATAGCATTCTCAGATTTAACATTTACAGTTCCGTCTATTGAGAATATCCCAAAAGGTCCGAGACATGTAAAAAATTGAATTTTAATGAATGTGGATGCTATGAGACCAATGGGTAATAGTGAATCAGCTAGTGCATGATCTCAGATGTTCTAGTTTCAGCATCTCAGTGGGAACTCATTTTCACGACTTATGTACACTTGAAGAGATGACGCACGCGCCGTAACGCACCTCTCATGCGGCGTTCTCAAGTGTGGCATTCCCCACGTGGATGCTCTCAGGACTAGACTCTCGTGAAAGTCAAGGATGTTTAGTACACAGTTCAATCAAAAAGCTGCTAACTATTGGCATGTTTGCAATGGCTTGTTGGTTAATGTCTTCCACGCACTGCCTACGCGGTAGGATTTGCTTTCCCAATCTAGCAAATGCTATTAGGTTTAAGTGTTATTCTGAGTTAAGAAATTAAATGACGATTCTCCATAGAAGTCAATCATACTGCTTCAGGCTTACAGTACCAAACCTACATCTACACATTTTGCCTAGATAATCATATCTATTCCCATGGCTTTAAATACCATCTATATGTGAGGGATGCCCAAATTTATTTCTCCAGGCCAGAACCTCACTGAGTTCCCAGATGTTTACTTGCCTGCTGGACAACCCCTCATGGATATATCTAATAGATGTAACAGTGTTGTTATTATAGTATTACTCCGTTCCATCACCCCAGCCTGTTCTTCTTCATATCAGTAAGGCACCAACAACATTCAGTTCAAATCAAACCTGGAGTCATCCTCAATTCCTCCAGCTCCTTCCAAATCCATATCACCTCCCTAATCCTGTCAGCTTTACCTCCAAAAGGTATTCCAAATCCTCCCACTTCTCTGTATCTCCTCTGCCATCCTAGTCAAAACCAACATGGCCTTTTACCAGGACTTCTATAATTAACCTAGCTGCCTACTCCTACTCTTGCCACTCTGCACAGATCACCAGAAATTCTATTGGAAAGTAAATCTGGTCACGTGATTCCTGTTCCATAAAGGCATGGACTAGTCCTCTCGGTGTCCCCAAGGCCTAGCACAGAGCAGGCAACTCAATATTCACTGAGTGAACGAATGAAATGTTCACGCAATTTGGGAAGAGTAAAAGGAGATGGCAGACTAGAAAGAGTTGAAAGGTCTTAAAACCTAGGCTTGAAACTAAGCTCCACCACCGTCTGACTAGCTCTTAAGCAAGTTACTTAACCTCTCTGATGATTACCTTTATCCTTACATATAAATGATAACATCACTTACCTTACAGAATTGCTATGAGAATTAAGTGACATAAAATTGAGATTAGCATTCTACTGGCACCCAATAGATGCCAGTAACACCTCTTCCCCCCATACCCCTTGTTTGAAGCCACCAGTAAATTTCAAGAAAATGGTCTTGTGATAGTTCTAAACATAAAGAGATATTACAGCCTAGTCATGAGGGATCATTTAGGAATAATTAAGTATCTGGAAAAAAAAAAAAACACAGCAAAGCAAAACCCCCGAAGTCAAAAACAGAATGGCAAATTCCCTTGAACTAGTCAAATTTCTTTTCCACTTTGAACCCTCTGCTGCAGCTTCCCAGTTAAGATAATAGATTTAAAGGCACACATCTAATGTTGCTCCTTCATCAAACCCCTAAATCTACCAGAAAGGGATTCTGTGAAAAGACATCAGTTTACATGGAAGAGAAGAACCAAAGAGACAACGGCAACAACACTTGGAAGCTGGAGAGCAAATGGTTGAGAAGCAACTGACTCAGCCACACCGAGAGAGCCAAATCCCAAGTAAGGAAGAGGGAAAGATCAAAACAACCCAAATTATACCACTCAATCTCAAAAGACATAAGAACTATAGTGCAAGATACTTCTAAAACCAAGGGTGAAAAGAAGGGGTCTAAAATAAAGAAGATGAGGTGAAGTTGTTTGAAGAAGAGATTTCCTAACACCAACCACACACACAGTCCTTATTGCTGGGAAATGCCTCCCAACTCCCATACCACCCCCGAGAGAAGCCTAGAGGTTATTCTCAAGGGAAGGGAGAGGGTCTCTGGAATGAAAAAGGCTAGGAACAATTAAGGGTATGCATACAAAAATTGCCACATGCTGACAGAGACTCTCTCTTTGACCCAAGTTTAGTTAGGCTCCTCTGTGCCCTCTTCTTGACTAGGCCTCAAGACCAGGCCTTCCATGTATGTTCTGTCCTTACTGAGCCTGTAGAGGCCAGTTTTAGCAAGAATCCTGCTATGTTAGCTTTGAAAAATTCCCTCACCCTTGACATTTGATGGAGTTCTTCATCCCGCGCTTTTGATGTATAAATCCTTGACCTGCCTTCAGCAAGAATCCCCCACCCTTGCTGTTTCCTCCTAGTAATAACTGTGCATCCACCAAACCCCTCACTCTGCTCGTTGGCTATAAATCCCCAGCTGTCTTTTCTGTATTTGAAGTTGAGCCTGATCTCTCTCCCCTATTGTAATATCCTTTGTTATAGACTGAATTTATGTGTCTGCTATGGACTGAATTTTGTCCCCCTAAAAATTCATATGTTGCAGGCCTAACCCCCAATTCTGACTATATTTGGAGATAGGGCTTTTAGGAAGTAACTAAGGTTAAATGAGTTCATAAGGGTGTGGTCCTAATCCAATAGGATTGGTAGCCTTCCAAAAAAAGAGAGAGAAATCTATCTACCTGCTCCCCATCCCCCACATACATACTAAGGAAAGGCCCTATGCGCATACAGCAAGGCAGCTGTATGCCATCTGAGAGTCAGAAAGAGAATCCTCACCAGAACCCGGCCATGCTGGCACCCTGAGCTCAGACTTCCAGCCTCCAGAACTGTGAGGAAATAAACTTCTGTTGTCTAAGCGCCCAGTCTACAGTCTTTTGCTACGGCAGCCCAAGCAGACTGATACACCCCTACTGCAACAATCCTGAATAAAGTCTTCCTTGTTGTTTTAATATGTGTCAGAATAAGTTTTCTTTAACGACATAACAGCAGACATGAAATATTCACTAGAAGGTACAGAAGATAAAGTTGAGGCAATTTTTCAGAAAGCCAAGAAAAAAGAAAAATAGAAAGTAAGAAGAAGAGAAAGTAGAAGGAAAAAAAAAGATATGAAAATGAAGTAAAAAGATTCAGCATCAAAATGCCAGGAAAGATAGACATCTTGCCTCTCCCCAAAAATAGAGAGGAGTAAGCTTAGAAATATACCAAGAAAATTCACCACAACTGAAAGGCATATTTTCTAGAGTCTAGCCAAAATGCCCATTAAGTCCTCAACACAGTAACTGGAAAAAAGGCACAAACACAAAAGGACACCATGTCAAATTTCAGAACACTAGAGACAAAGAGAAGATGCTATACATTTCCAGAGAAATGAGAGAAAAAAACACAGGTCACATCCAAAGGATCATGAATCAAAATTGCCTCCACAACACCGAAAGTGGGAAGTCAATAAAGCAACGCCTTTAACACTTGAAGGAAAAGGATTTCCACCAACCCAGAACTCCACACTCAGGCAAACCACCAGTCCAAACTGGAGCAGCACGACGCAAGAGACAGCCACGGTGAGCGCTACCATTCAAGATGTCACTGCCCTCAGCCCAGGTGACTCCTGCCCAGATTCTCATCTGAACTCGTCTTACTCCAACTCTGTGCTGATGACGTACTTGTGCCTGGCCAAGCCTGGACACTCACTCCCTCCTCTACTAAATTACATATTATTTTCTACCGAGTGCCAAGACTTTCACTAGGATACACCTCTTTTTTAATAAGGATTCATTTAATTGTTTTTGGAATCCTAAATATTTTTAACATAAATTATCCTTCATTAATGAAGTCTGATTTATTCATCTGACAAAATTCTTTTAGACATGTGACTATTTGTTCCCAGAAAATCATTCAGAAAACCCATGCAATCAACATTCATACTTAC